GCACAATCTCGCGCATCCGGGCATTAAAGCTTCGCAAAAGCTTATAGCGGCCCGTTTTGTGTGGCGGGGTATGAACAAGGACATTTGTACATGGGCGCGTACTTGCATCCCATGTCAGCGCGCAAAGATCCAACGTCATACGCACTCACCGCTTGGCACTTTTGCCAACCCCGATGCCCGTTTTGCACACGTTCATATTGATCTTGTTGGGCCACTACCGCCCTCGAAAGGGCACATTTATCTGCTGACTTGTATCGACAGGTTCACCCGTTGGCCCGAAGCGATCCCGATAGCGGATGCCACTGCCGAGACAGTAGCCATAGCTCTAGTGGAGAACTGGGTAGCTCGCTTTGGAGCTCCAGCCACGATTACGCATGATCGAGGTCGTCAGTTTCAATCTGCGCTTTTCACTGCATTAGCTAATTTGCTAGGTTGTCGGACCATAGCCACCACGGCCTACCACCCGCAGGCCAACGGTATGGTGGAACGGTTCCATCGGCAACTTAAAGCCTCTCTCAAATCTCAACCCGAGCCAAACCGTTGGCAAGAATACCTTCCTCTGGTCATGTTGGGTATCCGCGCAGCTATTAAGGAAGACATCGGAGCTTCCGCTGCCGAACTAGTCTACGGGACGGCGTTGCGTCTTCCAGGCCAGCTGATAGTGCCTACGCGACACGATACTGTTGACCCCGCGGACTACGTCCAACGCTTGAAGGACCATATGTCTGTTTTAGCGCCTACAGCGACACGTAGGTCACCACAGACCAGTTTTGTACATAGGTCTCTCGATACTTGTACGCATATTTTCTTGCGTATCGATGCTGTCCGTAAGCCATTACAGCCTCCGTATTTGGGTCCGTTCAAGGTTCTCAAACGAAACCCGAAGTTTTTCGTTATTGAGCAAAAGGGCAAGCATGTTTCTGTAAGCATTGATCGACTGAAACCCGCATTTTTGGAAAGCGTTTCGGCTAGGACTACCGCGGCTGACGTGCCTCTAGAGGGAGCGCCTACCGTCTCCTCCCCTCTGCGCACAGCACTTCGCGCAACTTCTGCGCCTGCTCCTGCACCTGCTCCTACGCCTGCTCCTGCTCTGGTGAAATCGCAACCTGCTGCGCGTGTCACACGTTCAGGCCGCCACGTCCACTGGCCGCAAAGGTACGTTCAGGTTCACTACATTGAACGTGTCGCATAAATAGTGGTTATTTTCATGTATATTAATGTATTTTGTACATATGTTTCCTTTATATTTTTAATTGTGTATTTTCGCCCCTCGGAGCTTACGCAAGCTCGGGTCTAGTAGGGGGGTTAATGTAGCGACAAATGTTACAGTGCATTCATTTATAATTCACTGGTATACATATTGTGTTTTTAATCCAAAATGGCCGCTTTAGAAGTCATTGAGAGTTCGAGGATTTGGTATTACGCCATGTCCTCAGAACTGGTTTTAACTCGATTTATTATATAACGATGTTTATTCATTAGTATTTTGATCACATGACCAATTAACATAGATGTACGCGTATTTATTCATAAGTATTTAGATCACGTGCCTTATTAACATACATGTGCGCTTGTTTTGAACCAATCGCGCTGTAGTTGATTGGCGCTCTTCTGATTTTCCTGTGCGGGAATCAGTGAGCTGTTTTAATATTGGTATACACACATGCTGTTATTGTGTTGATATTTGTACCTAGAAAATTGTATCCAACGAGGATTGAACTGCTTCCTTCCCGGACCATTCCCGGTGGACGTGCTCACCTATTTACATCTTGTACGTTTTGCAAGATATATTTTGACTCTCTCGATGTTCAACATGGACGACACTTTAATTCACCAGCAGTGAGAATAGAACATTTAATATGATCTAACGTTTTTCTCACCTGCATTATTGTTTGACAACCTTTTATCAGCGACTTCATATATATTGTCTCGACATTTGATTCTTCGACCTGCATCGCAAGTCACTGAAGTTGATCTATTGACATTGACTGCATCATCATTGTATTCATCTGTTAACTGATTCATCATCGTTGTCTTCATCACCGTTGTCTTCATCATCGCTGTCTTCACCAGCGTCGTCTTCATCGTCGACTTCATCATCGCTGTCTTCACCAGCGTCGTCTTCATCATTGTTGTCATCATCGTTGTCTTCAACATCGTCTTCATCATCGTGGTATTCACCTAGCGTCGATCATCGTCTGCATATCCTACGCGATCGACAACCAGCTCGTCGACCACTGTTTTCGACTAGCTAGTTTCTACATCTACCTAGAACTTGAAGAAGATCTACTTTGAATTCAACTCCAATGACTCACGTAACGTTAATTATATTGTGATTTATGCTTTGCATTGTTTATCATTGTGAGGCCTTATTTTGACTGACTGAGTGCCTGTTGTTGAGTGCGTACGCTTACTAACACATATTTTACATGTTTATAATTGCACTAGTTCTAGGCCTATGCCTGGTCTACTGATCTAGATCTGCTATAGTCTAGATCCACCGATATATTGTTGTATTCTCGTGTTGTGCATTCCGTACACATACACAAGTAGAGATTTGTTTAGCGGTTTCTTGAACCACAATATTTCGTGCCTATGTAAGTAAATCTAAACGCTGTCTAGCTTAGATTTGAGTAGTATTTTCTTGACTGTTATTATTCATGCAGTGTGAATGATATTTAACTGACTTGTTTTAATACTGTTTTAAGTTGTACTGAACAGCTAGACTCCTGGTATTTCGAGACTTGTATTCAGCGGTAATCATTAATACCATAGTGACTAAGTTGAGTCTCCTTTACATTAATGTGCTGTTGGAAGTTATCTATGTTTGATTATTAATAGTAACTACCAAGGGCCTAGTGATAGTTTAATTGTCTGTCACTGTTGAGATAGACAGAAGAGGTTTCTGATAATTCTGTAATCATTGTATCTTATGTGAAATTATAGAATATAGAACCAGTTTTTAACCATAATCAATTTGTCTGGATGTGATCATTTATTAAGTGTTTTCTTGTCTGGAGGGATACTGCTTTTTAGTAGTTTAATTAAAAAAGGGAATTATGTGGGATTACTAGTTAACACGCAACATAGTCCATACCCCATGTAAGTTTTCTAAACACCCTACACCGTGTTCTAAACCACCGATTTACAATGGGCGGCAAAAAAAGAAAAAATGAAGAAAAAATAGAGAAATAGTGGAAAAATATTTTGTCTAAGACAAAGAAAAAAGAAAAAAAAAGAAAACCGGCTATATTGCCCCGCACACATTCTTTGGCCTTAACGTTTTCCACTAACCCCCCCCCCCTTATATTTGGTCTCTCTCCCTCTCTCTCTCTCTCTATATATATATATATATACTGTGTAATATTAGAATGTAAAGCTCTTCTTCTCTTTCCCCTCTTACTGTCTCCAAAACTCTTTTTTTTTTCCTTCTTTCTCTCTTTCTCTTTTTCTATCTCTCTCTCTTTCTCTCTCGTTCTTTCTCTTTTCCCACCCCTCCCCACCCCTCTCTCCCTCTCTGTCTCTCTCTCTCTCTTCAGCTCACCCGACCCTGTCGTGCATATCTCCTTGTTTCACTCCTCTACATCATACTCTAACACTTCTTTCATCCTTCATTCCCAACTGAATCTTTTCGCTCTGCTCCTCTTACCCCCTCCTTATTTTTTCTCCGTAGTTCTCATATGACATGAGAGAATAGTTATAGGAAGCATTTATGCGCTGTACACCTAGCTTATGGTATATGTACATTTTGTTGTTGTATGCACATGGTATTGTTGATTGACACTGGAAGAGTCCTGTAATGGTTGAAAGAGGGAGATTAAGGAAGAATAGTGGAGAAAGAGCGGGTGAGAAAACAGGTGTAGTTACCATCCTTTAATCTTCCGAATATAGCAGTGAAAGCAAATTAAATATCTTGCTCTATCATCCAGGATTCTAATAAAGTGGATCTCTAACATAATCATAATATATCCACTATTGATAGCCTCAATAAGTCGCCCTCTATAGATGAAAATAATGATTACCGCCAATAAGTTTAAAGGTGCTTATACACTCTGGTGGAAAACCCATTTCTATTCATAGGATGCGCAAACTGTATGATATTGACAGACGATCTACTCCAGTGCATACTTATGCATAGAGTCTTTCTTGCTATGATTATTAATGATTATTAATATTAAAAGAAATTATAAGAAAAAAGTCAAAATTATTGCAGTCTCAATTTTATGTCGTGTTTTGAAAGTTTTGTTCTTTCTTTCTTATCGTCCAATACTAGACAGTTTGGTTGGAATTCACAATCATGGTCTCACCCTAGACCGTGTTCGAAACCACCTATTTACAATGGGCGGCCAAAAAAATAGAGAAGGAGAATAGAGAAATAGTGGTTAAAAGATTTTTTCTAAGACAGAGATAAACGTTGTTTGGCCGTTTTCGGTCGCCCAGAAAAAGTTGTTGGTTAGACCATGGTTTTAGGATTAAATCACATTGCTTTGTAAATTACAGCCTTTATGTTTTCCACTTCCCCCCCTTATCTTTGGTTTCTCTCTCTCTATATATATATATATATATTTATATACACTGTATAATATTATGATGTAAAGCTCGATCTTCCTCTCTATCTCTCTTTCACTATGTTTATCCTCCTCTCCCTCTCCCCACCCCCTCTCTTTATCTCTCTCTCCTCAGCTCACCCGACCCAGTCATGCATATCTCACTGTTTCCCTCCTATACATCATACTCTAACACTCCTTTCATCCTTCATTCCCAACTGACTCATTTCACTCTGCTCCTCATATTTGTTATTAAACTTCTTTTTACATAGCAAAGAGTACATCGCATTTTAGTATTCATAGATTTATTAAATAATTCCATTTACACGTTATTCATAACATTTATATGGCACCTAATGATACACTACGTAATCACTATGATGGTTGGGAATAATTGTATACAAGAAATAAAACATTAAACTAGGAACAGTTCTTTGAGAAACATTTAAGTCTTTAGTTTGCGACGAACCAGACCTCGTTGTGTCGGTTGAAAATGGTAAAAGGGCTGTCATAACCAGCCGTGTAATGGTAAGAACTATCGTATGGGTGTGACGCGTCGAGAGCACGGCCTAATTCAGCACCAGCCTGGATCCAGTCATCTTGAGACGCGAAACCACCAAAGGATCTGATATCGGAATGAAATATTGAATGAAAAATGGGTTTTAATATTCAACGAAATTCTTTGATTTCGTTAGAGCACAACCGGTCCATATCTCCTTTACCCCCACCCCAGAAATGCTTCGATCGGAACTTGTAGTACATTCGAGAGAAGAAAAAATCAAATTAAGGCAATTTGACCTTTTGAAAAGTGCGAACATTAGACTTGCAATGATCGCGTATTACGTAATCTGAACATGATTTCTACTGGAAATGCAATGGGGTACTGACTTTAATTGCCCTTGATCTGAGTTGATTTTTCGAAAGTAGTTGCGATCGTGTTCAAATAACTTCATTACATTATAGAATGTGCCCAGCTAATCGTGTTATGTGCCCCCTTCAAATGTTAGACCTATTTTGTTGTCCTCTCTGCCTTGGGCAGGTGTAAGGCGGGCATTGTGTCAGTGCTTCCACTGTCAAAATAAATCTAAGGAAAATTGATGAAACTGATTGGGGGAATATCGATTCAGGACAAAAAGCGGAAAATTTGTAGGCCTAGGGACAAATATTGTTTACCCTTTTTTGCATCTCTCACTTAAAAATCGGTTTGAAAGAAATATCTATCCACATGCAAGCACAAAGTTGGGCTTATTCCACGGGCTTTTTCTCTCGCCAACACGTCATCGTGTGCTAGTCTTTGCAATATGGGTAGAAATCGGAACGGAGTGGAACGGACTCGATCTACACCTGGGGCCCGTTTCACAAAGCCTTTTTTTCAATGACAAATTACAAAAATCAGTGACAAATCTGTTGATAACCAATCAGAAGCAAGCACTTTGGTAGCTTATAACAAAAAACTGTAATTTGTCACTGATGACAGGTTTTGTGAAATACCCTCCAGATAAAAATTTAGTAAGATGTATGCCATCTTACTTGACGTAAGCACGATGTGCAGGGATGGTGCTAAAGAAGACATCAGAATCACTAGGAGCTGGAGGGTTAGCGCTGTGTTCTGCTGGGATGAAGAACGATACGGTGAAGTTGCTCTCACATGCGGGGCCCTGGCCCGGGATCACTCAGGTAGCGACCGGTGCAGTCATGGCAATCTTTTTGCTCTTTAAGAAGATTGAAAGGCAAGATCGTTATTGGATTATTGTTTTAATTGAAGAGCTGACTTTAAATCATTTGAAAGAGCTGTCTAAAGGGTTAATAGATGAAATAAAATTGTATAAAAGTTAAAGCAGACCCCTTCGAGTTGAGGGGGGGGGGTATTTAAACGATTGATATCAGAAATATATATCGATTTCGACCTGCCAGGATATGTTTCTATAGCAAAACGATAACAATCGTTAAACTATGAATACAATTTTTTTTTTCGCGACAAATTATGCAAATAAAAGAGAACTCTCCATAGATCCTCAGAGGAGGCTTTCACTTGAAGGCAAATGATAGACAGACCCCCCCCCCCCATCTTGCCTTTTGTGCGGTCACTGAAGAGTGATATATATATTAAAATGTAGTAGTATTATGTACATTAAAAAATCTAGAAAATAATATAAAATTCCTATAAAATACTATGCAAAATCATTGTGCATGTAAATTGTTATGTTGATTAGGTAATTTCATTGTACAATGATTGGTTCAGTTATATAACTTTGTATATATTATTCTGGCATAAAGAAATACATTTTATGATTCAATACTTTGATAAGTTTGAAGTTATTATTATTAAATGGAAGTCGTCAGAAACGGTGGACCAGGAGGGCGGGGGTACAGTGCCTCCTATGTTTTCGAATACCCTCAAAGTGAATCCTTTTTTAAATAAGTACTCCCATTCATTTCTTATAAGTGCTCCTTTTCATCTCTAGTTAGTGCCCCTAATCAGTTGCGAGAAGTGCCCCATTTTCACCTCAAATAGTTTCCCTTTTTATGTTGAAACGTGCTCCTTTTCTTTTCTAATAAGTGTCCTTTTCCCTTTGGATAAATGCCCCCTTTTCCTTTCATTAACAAATGTACTCCTAATCTAAAGCGACTAAGAGCAACTTTTTCTTAAATTTTATCCAAATTTTATAGATGGTATAATTTTGTTTCCATTTAAAGGTCTTTTCATTCTTTCATGATTAGATTGTGCTTAAAACCCCATCACGATTGTTTTTTCCTCTTTATAATCTGCAATTCTTTGCACTGCCTTACAAATCTTAAAATTTCAACTCGCTCGCTTCGCTCACTCCCAAATGGATATTCACACCATAACGCTCAACTGCAAAGTATGATGCTTAAGCGGGATCTTAAATCATCTAAAAATAGAAACAAAATCATCCCTGAAATGTATTCGGACAATAGGGGTATTACCAACGTCAAAAAATTGTATATTTTTGCTTTAGATTCTACCTTTGTGGGTGCCCCTTTTTTCTCCCCAGAAAGTGCCCTTTTTTGTTGGAAAAGGGGGGAGAATGAAAGAAATGGAAGGAGATAAAGGAAGAATAGTGCAGATAGAAGGGGTGAAATATTACAAGTGTAGTCACCGTCCTTTACCCTTCCAAACATAGATATGCTTATATAAAAGCAAATAAAAGGTTTGCTCGTTTACCTAGAATTCTACTAAAGAGGATCTCCAAAACAATATATCCACAACTGAAAAACTAATTAGTCGCCCTCTATAGATAGAAATGATGACTACCGACAATAAGTTCATAGGTGCTATACGCGGCGTGACTTCAGCATTGTAAACACATTTGTATTTGATGTGTACACTTGAATAGCGGCTCAAAGTTCAAAGTTATTCGCACTTCTTTCGACACATATTTGTTATCAACGTTAGACATTGGAACTGAGCTGCATGCATACGTTATTGGACGCACTCGTTAGTAATACGTAGACTCATATATTATAGTGTGTGATCCAGTGTGCTTGCATGAACGTACTGTTGACTTCTTGTCCACATTAGCTGATCACACTCTTAAGTTTCATTGGAAATTGCATTTATGCGTAGAAGGAGATCTTGTTTGTAATAAGCCAAAAACTCGATATTTAAAGAAATGGCTGAGAAGACCGAGAGCGAGAAAGCTACAAGCTCTTCAGAAAACCTGACGTGTCCACTATGTCTTGATATCTTCGACGAGGCAACCATCCTAACTTCATGCGGACACACCTTCTGTCGGAAATGTCTCAAGAACTATGACCTGTCCCACCAGGATCTCGATCACATGATCTGTCCTCTGTGCAGGAAGATCACCAAGTTGTCTGCGAACCGTGTCGATGATTTCCTCACCAATGTGACTGTCAACGGACTTGTAGACAATTACCACGCCAAGTGTGGAGGGATGAACGCTCTCCTTGAGATGCGTCCAAAATGCACTGCTTGCAAGTTTCATCAAGATGCTGTCTCATTCTGCAGACCGTGTAATAACTACATGTGCACTAATTGCGACTTGGGCCATAAGCACCTGACATCATTCTTTGAAGGTCATGAGATTCTGTCCTTACAGGATATCATCGACGGGAAGGTCAGCATTGGTCAACTATCTGAGAAGTGCTGCATCCACAAACAAGAGAACAGAGATATGTTTTGTGAGGATTGTAAGGTCCACGTCTGTCTCAAATGCGTGATAGTCGGTCATCAAAATCACAACATCAAGAATCAGGCTGACTTCGAGCAAGAGTTACGGCTAAAGGTAAATGCGATTTCATTTGACAAAAAAAAATACAATTCCGACGTGGAAAGGTAACATGAGCATCGGTAGCGGGGGAGGCAGGAATGGGGGGGGCAGTGGAAGATGGTGCCCCTGCAATGATTCAATGGGGGACAATATTGATTTCCCCCCCCCCCCCCGCCCCGTCCCCGGTCCCTCGCAAAGAACAAAAGAAAAATTAAATGCAATTCCGTTGCATATTAATCAGCTTTCAAGTACGCTGAAATGTAAATTTTCAGCATGCTAAAATCATTGTTCTCCCCCACTCGGTCGCTACACTTCCTCGAATATTGATATACCCTGTGTGTATTATGGTTGTATACCTTGTCTACAAGGATACTACATAAACACTGCAAACATGGGAGAAGATATTCCTATCTTAGTATCTACCAACGATTGCCCCCCCCCCCCCGATTTTTGCAGTTAAGCTCGATCAGGAGATAAATCCTCTAAAATGTAAAGTTTAACCAATTTAAAACCTACATTTGATCAGTTATTGGTCGCTACCCTCCCTTACAAAATATAGTAAGCCTCTGTCCATACTGTAGAAATCATGTCTCCTAGAGGTTCTAAGAGAACGGCATGTTATTAATTCTATCTGGGGTGGAGCAAATTGTTTCTGCCCTCTCCCCATCACAAAGCCAAATATCTTTACAAACAAATGAGGATTTGCTTTTCCTTCCTCCCTTGCCAGAGAAAAACGTTTGACATCATTAATGTTGCAGCATAATATAACCATACAAAAGAGGTTCTAAAAAAGCAAAGTGTTTCCATTTCAAGTTCTAGAATTCTCTCTCTTTTGTTAAGATCCCTTTACACAGAATTGTCAAAGCGAGGAGGCTGATGATTCTTTCTATCAAGGTGGCTGCTAAATATTTGTCTCCCCTTTAATTTACAAGACATAATTTCGCCTAATATCGAATAGCTTTTAGTAATTATGTAAATATACAAAATTGCAACATTGTAATGATCTGACTTTGCATGTTTTCAGTAATCCATGTTGGCTCCTGTAATAGGGTCCCTCGTAAGAAAAAGGAAAAATTAAAGAAAACTGCATGAAATAGCTGTGATGTATAACACTGCATAGTAATTTTCTATAAAATACAAATTAAAACTTTCCATTCTCAATTTTTTCTGGCTAAGTACAGCTCCCTCGCAAATCATTTGATGCAGTGTGTTCTGTACTTTAAAAAATCCGCTACCACAAGACCCTCGAAACCGCAAGGGATGGGGGGGGGGGAGTCAGGTGTTACACTCTACGAAAGAAGGGAGCGTTTGAACTTTCCAAAATCTTTTTTCCCCCTCAATATGTCGCTTATACGCTCTGTCGCATAGTAACATACGCATTTTTTGGTTAAATGTTCCGTAGAAACGATATACGCCAAGGCCCCGAAGTATTCGGTAATAGATTTCTTCCTTAAAAGGCGACCAGGCAAAGGCCCCGCCCGGATAGCGAGACTTTAACACGACTATATTAGGTAATATTGCAGAATAGAAAAGCATTTAACTGCTTCAAGTACGGTTTCAACTTTCCAAAACGCTATCTTTATCCTCTCGGTCACTATGCTTCCTCGCATTCTAATAGATGGAATGTTTTTTATCATTGTACAAACCCTGTCTATTATATATGCTCATGAAACGGGTAGGGTGTGAAGATCAATGCTTATCTCTAGTAAAGGGGGTGAAACAACACTTGTGCTTACCCCCTACCACAAGACATAAAGCTCTCTCTGGCGCTTGCATAAGCTCACTGCCTCACCACATCAATATTTTAAAGTAGGCTGAGACTTTCCGTGTTTCACACTTTGCTCGATTACACTTTTCAATTTCTCAGAAGCAATTGTTTCGCTCGGTCGCTTCGCTCCCTCGCATAACAGTAAATTTTCAGTCGAGCTATATAATTCCTCATATTATAAAACCCTTTTATATGAGGTATTTTATGTCTTTATTAAACAAATTATGCTTCAATTTGAAAACATCTTAAATCTGCTTCTGTGTTTTAAAATAAATGCCAAAATACTACATTCCGTGAAACCAAAACTACAACAACGAGAAATCCAATGTCTTTTTCTCTTTCTTTTGTTGAATATTACTGCTTTCATACAAGCGGAATAAATACAAGAGATGGATTACCTTTTAAGAAAGCAGAAAAACAAGAATGTATTCAATTCATCTGTGCTCGTATGATTTATGATGATGTGGGGGTATTTTTTTCTAAAACTTAAGGCGCGTGCAAAATCGTGTTTCATTTTCAAACCATCTCCATGTAATTAGCACACATCTCAGTTAGAAAAATGTTTCTTTTCACTTCACTATTATTTGGTTTGTTTAGGTGAACGACCTTGTCCAGCGATGTGCCGCTAAGAAGACAGAACTGGAGAAGAACATTCAGAACGTTGAAGTACAACGCCATAAAGTATACACTGCCGTGCAGAAACTACTGGACGATGTCAGTCAAGCCTACAGCATCAAGGCCAAAGAGCTTGAAGAAAATCATCGAAATCTCATCGAGCAAATCAATGTAGTAAAGGGGAGTTTCGGTGACGACCTCAACGTCTTGAAATCCAACGATCGACAGAGGATTAAGAGTATTCGTAGTTCAATGACCCTGGTATCTAATGACAGACTGGGCCGTCTTGAGACAGACAGTCTGTCTGCTCATACCTTGCTCTGTGAGGAGCTGGATGCCATGCTGAAGGAGGCTACTGATCACACTTCTGCGGCAGACATTACGAAGAAAGCACAGGAGAAGAGGTTCAAGCCTGCAGATGATACTCGTCTTGAACTCGGGAGCATCTCAGAATCAGCTACTGATTACACTTCTGCTGCAGCCATTAAGAGGAAAGCACAGAAGAAGACGTTCAAGCCTGCAGATGATACTTGTCTTGACCTCGGGAGCATCTCAAAATCACATCCCAAGTTGCAAGTCATTCAGTGTGTAGATCTACGGGAATTGACGGTGGGTATGAGCCCGTTCTCTGAGGACAGTGTAGCAATCGGATATTGTTATACAGAGGGTATAGATATCATTGATTCAGCTGGTAAACAGGAACAGTATGCACACATACCACGTGACATGATATGCTATGATCTTGTGTTTCAACAAGACAGGTCGTTATGCATAATGACAAATGATAATAAAGTACACATATATTCTCCCAATGGATCCAGGAAACCAAACATCCACATGATAGGCAATGGCCTTCACGGTCTAAACAGAAGTCCATCAGATGAAATCCTCATCTCTAGAAATAAGAAGAAAGTCAATATCTATGACCCGACGGGATCTACACTCAAACACACTGTTCCAACAAAACACAACGAGACAAGGCAGGTATCTTCCACCAGGCCGGGTTTGATCGTCACGAGTTCATGTAACACCAATCCAAGCGTGGTGACGGTCTATGACAGGGATGGGAATGCTGGTACGTCTCTACAAGCTCCATACGGGGTCTTCCTGTATGCTGCCGTGGATGAGCAGGACAGGGTGTATGTAGCGAGTGTTGATCCTATGAAGGGTAACGTGGTGATCAGGCTCTACGATCTTGATGGTCTGAACCTGAAGGAGAGAGTTGAGTTCAATGTACTTAATCTGTCACTTGCTATGAATTTGTGTTACTTGGTTTCCCTTTCTCCAGACATGCTCGCGTTTGCATGTCACAAGAAGTTATATTTTCTCAAAGTATCACTGTAATCCATCTCACACTCTACAGTATATTACCATTTTTCATGGTGCGTATATCTCTCTGTTTCAGATCCACTCTTAGTTGGGCCTATAATGTGTCATATTGTTTATTATGTGATAACTAGCCGAATGAGATAATACCTATCTATTTTCTCCATAAATTGTCATTGCCTGACTACCGTTACATTATCCAATATAATTATAACTTCCCTCCCTCGAAATATTATGTAAATTGTTTAATCGATTATTCTAGACATTTTCTGAAAGCCAGTGATATGATATCATAATGTACAACTTGAAAATTGGTAGATATTGATTAACTTCTTATAAGTTTTATCTCCCTTATATTGTTCTCAAATATTTATTTAACAAAAAATTGTGCTCATAATTTTGTTTACTTTTGTGTTGATTATTTTGCATCTTTGAAATAATTAATACTGCACTGCAAAAACCAGGGTGTTAGATTTCTAACACCAGCGCGGAATACAAAAAAAACACCCTTGGTGTTAATTTCACGTCCGTTCACGTCCGTTCAACACCAACAGAGTGTCGAAATATTTAATTACAGGTTGATGTTCTGAGTCTTGGTGTTATGGTGTTGAACTTGCGCATGCGCATAATTTAGTGGGGTTCGAATCCCGACACGGCACTAATATCCTTTGGCATTATTATCCTATTTCATCAGCGCAATCATGCCGTTAAGTGTGAACATTTGTTCTGCAGACAGAAAAGTTAGAAAATTGTTACCCTAAATCCAACAGACATCGCAGGATTCTTTTAATTGAGTGTTAAATCATTGGTATTGATTTTAACCAAAAAAATCTGGATTAAATTATGTTATGGTGTTGAACTTGCGCATGCGCATAAGTTAGTGGATTCGATCAAAATCATTGGACAACAGTTGTCATATGATCTGACGTCGTATCGTGCGCGCATGCGCGAGCTTGCTGTCAAGAATCTCTTCGGGATGTCGTGGTTATAGAATTGTTAGTCAAGTGTCGTGGTCGAGTGGTTTAAGGCGCTTGACTTGGAGATGCGAAGGGTCGAGGGTTCGAATCCCGACACGGCACTAATATCCTTTGGCATTATTATCCTATTTCATCAGCGCAATCATGCCGTTAAGTGTGAACATTTGTTCTGCAGACAGAAAAGTTAGAAAATTGTTACCCTAAATCCAACAGACATCGCAGGATTCTTTTAATTGAGTGTTAAATCATTGGTATTGATTTTAACAAAACAAATCTGGATTAAATTCTACACACCACTGGTGTTGAAAGAAATGGTGTTGGATTTTTTAACACCAAAACTAGTATTGAACTTTAACACCAAGTTGAAATAATGGTGTTAGATTTTAACACCAAAGGCGGAATTACTTCAACTCCAAGAGTGGAATTGAATTGTTTAATTCCAAACCCTGGTGTTAAATAACACCAGCTGGTGTTTTCCGATATAGATACCGGGATGGTGTTAAAATTAACACCCATGGTGTTAAATTTAACACCCTTGTTTTTGCAGTGTGACTGTAAATAAGAACCATTGTAAATAAGCTTTTCAGCCTTCTCGGGTTATCCTGTCAAGTTATTGGTATTATTTTGTTTTAATTTTCAAATATCATTTTACTCTTCGTCGTGGATGTTATATTGAACTTGTCTAATAAATCAAACAGTTTTCCTTAAATACTTGGAGGATTATGGTTGCTAAGTTCCCTGAAAAATTCCTTCGTATTCACTTTGCACCTAGTCTAAAAAAAACCATTAAATTGAATGCTCTGGGAACTGATAACGTGACAGATTAGTTTTTTATGATGTAGAGAAGAACAATTTATTAACAAAAATTAGGCCTAGTTTAACTGTCGGGAATTCTGTTTCTTGACTTAGCATTTTTATTATTTTTATTATTTATTAACATGTATTTCCTTCTCAACAGTACAATATGAAACACAATGTATATATACATGATATATGTAACAATTATTTCAACATAGAGTATACAGTAAATAATTCAGATACGTAATATCCATATAATATTGGATGGCTTTGAGTGTGAAACAATTGCTCGAGACGAGTAGGCGAGAGATTTATATTCTTGTATTACACGCAAACAAAGCCCTACAATATTATTATTATTGTCTATATCAGGCTGACTAGCGAAATACCAACATTTTAATTACCTCGGTAAATATGGCTTTTGTTTTCGTTTGATATAAATATCAATAGTTGAAGTTACCGGATGACTGAGCAATACAAAAATGATATTAAATAAACTGATTTATTGTACTACTTGGAAGCCTTATATAGATAATAACAATTTATATTTGTTAACGTTTACTGCATTTCTGTTATAATTGATATTTTCACTTTGCATATTTCATATGAATTCGGCAGTTTTCCTTTTCATAATAATCACGGCTTCAATTTAATTCAGTTTAGTTAAATTAGATTAGATTAAATTGAATTCAATCTAAACAGATATTCTAATAACCGCATCCGATGGAACATGTTGTTACGCTAAGTTTTTGTTGTGGGTAAAATGTGGCAACTATTTCAATACAGACTCCTGGGCCCCGTCTTATAAAGAGTGAATATTAATCGCAACTATGTACATAAGAGATAGGAGACTGTAAACTTGCGATTAACCCAAATCAATTGCAACTCTTTATAAGACGGGGCCTAGGTCTCCACACTTTTTTTGTTGACAGTTTGTGAAGTACTTTTAGCACATGTCTCAAATTTCGTATTTTGTATTCCCTAATTTTTTGTTATATATTTTTACATGAGAAAATAGTTATAGTAAGTATTTATACGCTGTAAACCTAGCTTATGACTACATGTACATTATTTTGTTGTATGCACATGATATTGTTGATTGACATAAAAAAGAGGAAGAGAAAGAGATAAATGGACGGAGATAAAGAAAGAATAGTGGAGAAAGAGGGGGTGATAAACAGGTGTACTTACCGTCTTTACTCTTTATATAGTACAGAAAGCAAATAAAACGTCTCGCTCTATTGTCCAGGATTCTTATGAAGTCGATCTCCAACATTATGTATCCACTATTAAAAGTTTAAATAAGTCGCCCTCTATAGATAACAATTATTGATTCCGCCAATAAGTTCAAAGGTGTTTATACACTCTGGTGGAAAACCCGATTCTATTCATAGGATTCGCAAACTGCATGATATGGACAGACGATCTACTCAAGTACTTAATTATTTATTGAGTCTTCCTTGCTATGATAACTAATGATTATTAATATTAAAAGAAGTTTTAAGGAAAAAGGTCAAAACTATTGGAGTCTCGATTTTATGTCGTGTTTTTAGAGTTGTTTTCTTTCTTTCTTATCGTCCGATACTAGACTATATGGTTGGAATTCACAAACATGGTTTCACCCTACGCCATAAAACCACCGATTTACAATGGGCGGCCAAAATTGAAAAAATGATGAACAAAATAGAGATATAGTGGTAAAAGATTTGTTCTAAGACAAAGAAAGAAAACAAAATCAGCATATATTTTTAAGAAAACGGGTTATTTTTCTCTGCACACATTCTTTGGCCGTTTTCGTTGGTTGTTGTTAAGACCACGGTTTTAGGATTAAATCACATTTCTTTGTAAATTCCAGCCTTTATGTTTTCCAATTCCCTCCTTATCTTTGGTCTCTCTCTCTCTCTCCTTCCATCTCGCTCTCTCTCTCTCTCTCTCTCTCTCTCACTCTCTCTCTCTCTCTACGTATTTATTTATATACACTGTATAATATTATGATGTAAAGCGTTTCCTTTCTATCTCTCTTTCACTCTGTTTATCTCCCTCTCCCTCCTTCTCTCCCTCTCCCCGCCCCTCTCTTTCTCTCTCTCTCTCTCTCTCTTCAGCTCACCCTACCCTGTCGTGCATATCTCCTGTTTTCCTCCTATACATCATACTGTAACACTCCTTTCATCCTTCATTCCAAACTGATTCATATCGCTATGCTCCTCATATCCCCCTTCCTTCTCCCCCCCCCGTATTTCTCATATGACATAGATATTTGTAATTAAACTTCTTTTTACTTCTATTTAGGTATTCATAGATTTATTAAATAATTATATTTACACGTTATTCATAACTTTTATAATGATACATTACGTAGTCACTATGGTGATTAAGAATGATTGTATACAAGAAATAAAACATTAAACTAGGAACAGTTCTTTGAGAAACATTTTAGTCTTTAGTTTGCGACGAACAAGACCTCATTGTGTCGGTTAAAGATGGTGAAAGGACTGTCATCACCAGCCGTGCAATAGTAAGAACTATCGTACGGGTGTGACGCGTCGAGAGCACGACCTAATTCAACACCAGCCTGGATCCAGTCATCTTGAGACGCGAAACCACCAAAGGATCTAAGATCGGAATGAAATATTGATTTCTTTGATTTCGTTGAAGCACAACTGATCCATGTCCCCTTTAACACCCACCCCCGGAAATAGTACGATCGGAACTTCTAGTACATTCGAGTGAATTAAAAAAAATCAAATTAAGGCAATTTCACCTATTGACCATTAGACTTGCAATGATCTCGTATTACGTAATCTGAACATGATTTTTACTTGATATTCAATGGGTTACTGACATTAATTGCCCCTGATCTGAGTTGATTCTTCGAAAGTAGTTGCGATCGTGTTCAAATAACTTCATTACATTAAAGAATGTGACCAGTTAATCGTGTTATGTGCCCCCTTTAAATGTTAGACCTATTTTGTTGTCCTTTCTGCCTTGGACAGGTGGGTGGAGGTGGGCATTGTGTCAGTGTTTCCACCATCAAAGGAAATCTAAGCAAAATTGATGGAACTGATTGTGAGAGGATTCAGGACAAAAACTTCAAACATGTAGGCCTATGGTAAAATATTGTTCCCCTTTTTTCCTTCTCTCACATCTCTCACTAACAAATCGGTTTGAAGTTATCCACAAGCACAAAGTTTGGCTTGTTCCACAGGCTTTTTCTCTAGCTAACACGTAATCGTTTGCTAGTCTTTGTAATTGGGAATAAATCGGAAAGGAATGGAACAATTTCAATCTACGCCAGAAAATGTTTGATGTCCTGAGACAAATTATAAGAATTTAATAACATGTATGTCATCTTACTTGAGCACGATGAGCAGGGATGGTACTAAAGAAGACATTAGAATCACTAGGAGCTGGAGGGTTAGCGCTGTGTTCTGCTGGGATGTAGAACGATACGGTGAAGTTGCTCTCACATGCGGGTCCCTGGCCCGGGATCACTCGGGTGGCGACCGATACAGTCATGGTAATCTTTTGATCTGTAAGGAGATTGTAAGCCAAGATCGTTATTTGATTATTTTTTTAATTGAAGAGCTGGCTTTTAATTCAATTAAAAAGAGGTGTCTAAAGGCATCAATACTTCTGTTTGTTGTGGTTTCGTGTCGAGGTGTGTGTGTGGAGGGTGGAATAGTTCTGCATTCTTCTATTTACTTTCAAAGTCATATACTGAAGGTGATTTCTCCCAATAGTTATCGAGTTTGTTTTTGAAGGCATTTACAGATGGGGGCATTAACCACTTCTTCAGATAGGCTATTCCATATGTCCACTACTCTATTCGAGAAAAAGAATTTCCTGATGTCGAGATGTGAAAATGTCTTCTCTAGTTTCAGGGTATGGCCTCGTGTTCTGTTTTCCTTGCATAAATGTAGTAGGTTTGTCTGAGTGGTGTATAGGCCATGAAGGTACTTGTAAACGTCAATCATATCTCCTCTCTTCCTGCGATGGGCAAGAGACGGTAGCTTCAGGTATCTCAGACGTGTTTTCCAATGGAAGATTCTTCAGACTAGGTACGATCTTTGTAGCTCTTCGTTGGACGCTTTCAAGTCTCTTCTGTTTATAAAAGAGAGACCTCTCCATAGATCCTCAGAGGACGCTTTCACTTGAAGGCAAATACTAGACAGACCCCCCCCCCCCTACCCCATCTTGCCCATTGTGCCGTCACTGAAGAATGGTATATATTAAAATGTATTATGTACATTAAAAAGTCTAGAAAAGTCAATAATATAACATTTCTATAAAATACTATGCAAAATCATTGTGCATGTAAATTGTTATGTTGATTAGGAAATTTCATTGTACAATGATTGGTTCAGTTATATAACTTGGTATATATTATTCTGGCATAAGGATATACATTTTATGATTCAATACTTTGATAAGTTTATTATTATTATTTAATGGAAGTCGTCAGAAACGGTGGATCAGGAAGGGGGGCACATTGCCCCCTATGTTTTTGGAATACCCTTAAAGTGAATCCTTTTTAATATGTGCCCCCTTTCATTTCTTATAAGTGCCCCTTTTCATCTCTGGTGAGTGCCCCTAATCAGTTGCGAGAAGTGCCCCATTTTCACATCAGATAGTTCCCCTCTTTATTTTGAACGTGCTCCTTTTCTTTTCTAATAAATATTCTTTTCCCTTTGGAAAAATGCACCCTTTTCCTATCATTAAAAATGTACTCCTAATCTAAAGCGACTAAGAGCTACTTTTTTCAAATTTCACCCAAATTTTATAGATGGTATAATTTTGTTTCTTATTAAAGGTCTTTTCATTCTTTCATGATTAAATTTTGCTTAAAACCCCCTCATTATAATCTGCAATTCTTTGCACTGCCTCACAAATCTTAAAATTTCGAATCGCTCGCTTCGCTCACTCGCAAATGGATATTCCGACCATCGCACTCAACTGCAAAGTATGATGCTTAAGCAGGATCTTGGACCATCTAAAGAGAGAAACAAAATTTAAAATCATCCCTGAAATGTAATCAGACTTTAGGGGTATTACCAATGTTTACAAATTGAATATTTTCGCTTTTAGTTTCTACCTTTGTGGGTGCCCTTTTTTCTTTCCATGAAGTGCCCCCTTTTTGTTTGAAAAGGGAAGAGAATGAGAGAAATGGAAGGAGATAAAGGAAGAATAGTGCAGATAGAAGGGTTGAAATATACAAGTGTAGTCACCGTCCTTTACCCTTCCAAACATAGATATAAAAGCAAATAAAATGTTTTGCTCGTTTACCTAGGATATACTAAAGTGGATCTCCAAAAACAATATATCCGTAACTGAAAACTAATAAGTCGCCCTCTATAGATAGAAAATATGACTACCGACAATAAGTTCAAAGGTGATATACGCGGCGCGAGCTCTTTGTGGGAAAACCTACTTCTATTTATACGATGCACAAACTGCATTATATTCACAGGCGAACATATAAAGAGTGTGTTTAGCATTGTAATGACATTTGTATTGATGTGTAAACTTGCATAGCGACTCAGTACTTTTGATCAAAGTCATTCGCACTTCTTTCGACACATATTTGTAATCAACGTGAGAAATTGGTACAGAACTGCATGCAGTACATTATTGGACGCACTCGTTACGTAGACTAATATATTATAGTGTGTACTTCAGTATGCTTGCAGTACGTTATTGGACGCACTCGTTACGTAGACTCATATTTTATAGTGTGTACTTCAGTATGCTTGCATGAACGTACTGTTGACTTAGCATATTAGCTGATCACACTCTTAAGTTGCATTGGAAATTACATACATGCGTATAGAATGAGCTCGTGTCTATAATAAGCCAAAAATCCGATATTTGTAGCAATGGCTGAGAAGGCCGAGGAAGAGAAAGCTCCAAGCACTTCAGAGAATCTGACGTGTCCACTATGTCTTGATATCTTCGACGAGGCAACCATCCTGACTTCATGCGGACACAGTTTCTGTCGCAAATGTCTCAAAAACTATGACCTGTCTCACCAGGATCTCGATCACATGATCTGTCCTCTCTGCAGGAAGATCACCAAGTTGTCTGCGAACCGTGTCGATGATTTCCTCACCAATGTGACTGTCAACGGACTGGTAGACAATTACCACGCCAAGTGTGGAGGGATGAACGCTCTCCTTGAGATGCGTCCAAAATGCACTGCTTGCAAGTTTCATCAAGATGCTGTCTCATTCTGCAGAACGTGTAATAACTACATGTGCACTAATTGCGACTTCGGCCATAAGCACCTGACATCATTCTTTGAAGGTCACGAGATTGTGTCCTTACAGGATATCATCGACGGGAAGGTCAGCATTGGTCACCTATCTGAGAAGTGCTGCATCCACAAACAAGAGAACAGAGATATGTTTTGTGAGGATTGTAAGGTCCACGTCTGTCTCAAGTGCGTGATAGTCGGCCACCAACATCACAACATCAAGAATCAGACTGACTTCGAGCAAGAGTTACGGCTAAAGGTAAATATGGTTTCTTTTACACTGTCGTTCATATAGTTGGAATATTTTTGTTTTACCCCAATTCATGGAATTATTTTTAAAATAATTCAAAAATAATAGATCTAGATAATAGTATACATTCTCAGATTTTATTGAATAATAATTTGCCAATATGTGTTTTGTATGCTACTATGCTTTTCAACTAATGAGGATTAATGCCCCACAAAAGGGCACTAATATAGCACATCGACACGGTTTTGATCATGGGGCCTCACAGTTACGAGGCCATTGCTTTGTCACTGAACCATGACTGTACGCAGCGGGGGCTAGGGTAGGGCGCAGTTTCCATAACTTAAATTAAAAAAATAAAATGCAATCAAGTTCAATAATTTATTGCATTTTACCCCGGTTCCCAACATAAGAAAATCCTTTGTGTGCCTATGCCTTGAGCCATAATGCATAGCCGTCCAGAGGATTTTTTTAATTTTAAAGTATAATGCAAATGTAAAATCCCACAATGAATTTCTATGTCATTATTGGACGAAATAAAATTGAATTGAATTGAATTGAAAACAATGTATTCAAGATCAATTTCTCTGTCATCTAATGATTTATGATGAAGTAGGAGGAGGGGGTCTGGAACTTTAGGCGCGTGCAAAATCCTTGTTCATTTTTAAACCATCTCTATGTAATGATCATACATCTCAGTTAGGAAACGTTCTTTTCACTTCTTGATTGTCGGCTTTATTTAGGTGAACGACCTTGTCCAGCGATGTGCCGCGAAGAAGATAGAACTGGAGAAGAACATTCAGAATGTTGAAGTACAACGCCAAGAAGTATACACTGCCGTGCAGAAACTACTGGATGATGTCAGTCAAGCCTACAGCATCAAGGCCAAAGAGCTTGAAGAAAATAATCGAAATCTCATCGAGCAAATCAATGTAGTAAAGCAGAGTTTCGATGACGACCTCAACGTCTTGAAATCCAACGATCGACAGAGGATCAAGAGTATTTATAGTTCAATAACACTGGTATCTAATGACAGACTGGGCCGTCTTGAGACAGACAGTCTGTCTGCTCATACCTTGCTCTGTGATGAGCTGGACGCCATGCTGAAGGAGGCTACTGATTACACTTCTGCGGCAGCCATTACGAAGAAAGCACAGGAGAAGAGGTTCAAGCCTGCAGATGATACTCATCTTGAGCTCGGGAGAATCTCAGAATCAGATCCCAAGTTGAAAGTAATTCAGTGTGTACATGTTCGGGGACGGATATCGAATATGACCCCGTACTCTGTGAACAGTGTAGCTATTATATATTGTAGTCCTGAATGCGGTATAGATATAATTGATTCAGCTGGTAAAAAGGAGAAGTATGCAAACATACCAAGTAACATGCAGTGTAATGATCGTGTGTTTCAACATGACAGATCGTCATGCGGCATAGCGCAGGCTTGGCTTGTGCAGGGTAGGACAGACGAAGTCACATTTTCTTCCTATGGATCTAGGAAATCAACCCTCGACGTAAAAGACAATATTATTATCATAGTCAACAGAAGTCCATCTGATGAAATCCTTATTGATCACCAAAACAAGATAGTCGATATCATTGACCCGACGGGATCCACACCCGAACACACTGTTTCAACAAAACACAACGTGACGAGGCAGGTATCTGCCACCAGGTCGGGTTTGATCGTCACGAGTTCATGTAACACCAATCCAAGCGTGGTGACGGTCTATGACAGGGATGGGAATGCTGGTAAGTCTCTACGAGCTCCAGACGGTGTCCACCTGTATGCTGCCGTGGATGAGCAAGACAGGGTGTATGTAGCGAGTGTTGATGTTCCGAATGGAAACGTGGTGATCAGGCTCTATGACCTTGACGGTCTGAACCTGAAGGAGAGAGTTCAGTTTAATGTACTTAATATGATACTTGGTCATCAATGGTGTTACTTGGTTTCCCTCTCGCCAGACATGCTCGCGTTCGCTTGTCATAAGAATGTATATTTTATCAAAGTATCACGGTAATCCATCTCATACTCTATATAACCATTATTTCTGGTGTTTATACCTCTCTGGTAAGGCTATACTCTAAAATGGGCCTATAATGTGTCATATTCCTTTGTTTGTTATGTGATAACTAACCGAATGAGAAGATGCCTATTCTATCGATAGATTTTAATTGCCTGAATACCGTGGTCATTATCTTATATATTTATAACTTCACTCTCTCGAAATAGTATGTAAATTGTGAAATCATTTATCCTAGATGTTTACTGAAAGCCAGTGATATGATCTTAAAAAGTACAACTTGAAAATTGGTAATAAATTGATTAACTCCGTATTAGTGTTTTTTCCCTTATGTTTTTATCCTCAAACATTTGTTTTAACTGTTGTGCTCATATTTCTTGAGTTTAATGGTGATTATTTTGTTTCTTTAAATTAATTAATACTGACATTGTACATATGACCCCATTGTAAATAAGCTTTTAAGCTTTCACAGGTTATCCTGTCATGTTATTGGTATCATTATTTTGTTTTCATTTTAGAATACCATTTTACTTTTTCGTATGGATGTTACATTGAACTTGCCCAATACATCAAATCTATTTTGGTTTAAAGATAAAGGTGAGTTCTGGTCATCCGATTGCATTGTGAAAAAAATGTGTAAAATTGAATCGGAAAAGTTGATCATGTAGCATCTAAGTATTGGTGTGTACTGCAAAGTTCTGGAGTCATCAAAATCATAATAAATTTGGCCAAGTCTTGGTAAAGTAACAAGCACTGTACACAGAAAGATGTATATAAGAACTACACAAATGGTGTCGGGACTACCAACCTTGATTTACTATTCTTTCTATGCTCATTACTCAGCCAGTATACATTTTGTACCAAAATTGTTTTTTTTGCAAATTACATTTATTTCTAATCTTGAACATTCAGTGTAATTTTCGTTTGATTCTGTGAGAACGATTTTTGTTTTAACCAGAACTCACCTTCATCTTTAATCCTTGTAGGACCATGGTTGCTACGTGCCTACGTTCACTTTGCACCCTGTCTAAAATGCCATAAAATGGAATGCTTTAGGAACTGAAAATGTTACAGATTAGTTTCCTATAATGTACAGAAAAACAATGTATTAACAAAATTTAGGTCTAGTTTAAGTAATGTAGGAATATTATTTGTACGCGTTTACTATATTTCTATTATAATTGTTAATGTCACTTTTCATATTTCATGTGAATTCGGCAGTTTTCCTTTTTCATAATAATTACCGCCTTAATTCAATTCGGTTCAGTTAAATCAGATTAAATTGAATTTAATCTTTACAGATATTCTGATAACAGCATCCGATAGAAAGTGTTGTCACTTTAAGATTTTTGTGAAGAACGAAATTCAATTATTATGGGTAAATTGGGGCAACTGTTTCGATGCAGCCTCCTTGGCCCCGTCTTATAAAGAGTTGATATCCAACGCATTTATGTACATAAGTGATAGGAGACTGTAAACTTGCGATTGATTGGATGACCTGCGATTGATCCAAATTAATCGCAACTCGTTATAAGATGGGGCCCAGGTCTCTATATTGTTTTGTACACTCTTTGTAAAGTACCCTAAGCACATGTCTTAAATTTCGTATTTTGCATTTTTCTTCATTTTTTTAAAAATATAATTAGAAAATAGTTATAGTTAGTATGTATACGCTTTAAACCTAGTCTATGATTTCATGTACATTGTGTTGTTGTATGTACACGGTATTGTTGATTGACACTGGAAGAGTCCTTTAATGGTTAACAGAGAAAGAGGAAGAGTAAAAGAGAAATGGACGGAGATTAAGAAAGAATAGTGGAGAAAGATGGGGTGATAAACAAGTGTAGGTACATAGTACAGAAAGCAAATAAAACGTCTCACTCTATTGTCCAGGATTCTTATCAAGTGGATCTCCAACATAATGCATCCATTATTGAAAGCCTAAATAAGTCGACCGCTATATAAAAGATAACAAATTATGAATACCGTCAATAAGTTCGAAGGGGCTTAAACACTCTGGTGGAAAACCCAATTCTATTCAAAGGATGCGCAAACTGCATGATATTGATAGACGAGCCCAAGTACTTAATTATGCGTTGAGTCTTTCTTGCTATGATTACTAATGATTATTAATATTAAAAGAAGTTTTAAGAAAAAAGGTCAAAACTATTGGAGTCTCAATTTTCTGTCGTGTTTTTAAAGTTGTTTTCTTTCTTTCTTATCGTCAGATACTAGACTATTTGGTTGGAATTCACAAACATGGATTCACCCTACACCGTGGTCTAAACCACCAATTTACAATGGGCGGCCAAAATGGAAAAAATGAAGAACAAAAATAGAGAAATAGAGGTTAAAGATTTGTTCTAAGACAAAGAAAAGAAAACACTTTTTAGCATATATTTTTAAGAAAACGGGTTATTTTTCTCTGCACACATTCTTTGGCCGTTTTCGGCCGCCCAGAAAAAGTTGTTGGTAAGACGACGGTTTTAGGATTAAATCAAATTTCTTTGAAAATTCCAGCCGTTATGTTTTCCACTTCCCTCCTTATCTTTGGTTTCTCTCTCTCTCTCTCTCTCTATATATATATATATATATAGATATATATTTATATACACTGTATAATATTATGATGTAAAGCTCGATCTTCCTCTCTATCTCTCTTTCACTCTGTTTATCCTCCTCTCCCTCTCTTTCTCTCCCTCTCCCTCTCCCCACCCCTCCCCACCCCTCCCCACCCCCTCTCTTCATCTCTCTCTCCTCAGCTCACCCGACCCAGTCATGCATATTGAACTGTTTCCCTCCTATACATCATACTGTAACACTCCTTTCATCCTTCTTTCCCAACTGACTCATTTCGGTCTGCTCCTCATATTTGTTATTAAACTTCTTTTTACATAGCAATGGGTACATCACATTTTGGTATTCATAGATTTATTATATAATTCTATTTACACGTTATTCATAACGTTTATATGATACCCGATGTTCACTACGTAATCACTATGATGGTTGAGAATAATTGTTTACAAGAAATAAAACAATAAACTAAGAACAGTTCTTTGATAAGTTCATTTGACTGAAGTTAGTCTTTAGTTTGCGATGAACCAGACCTCGTTGTGTCGGCTAAAGATGGTGAAAGGACTGTCATAACCAGCCGTGTAATAGTAAGAACTATCGTATGAGTGTAACGCGTCGAGAGCACGGCCTAATTCAGCACCAGCCTGGATCCAGTCATCTTGAGACGCGAAACCACCAAAGGATCTGAGATCAGAAAGAAATATTGAATGAAAAATGGGTTTTAACATTCAACGAAATTCTTTGATTTTATTGGAGCACAATTGATCCAAGTCCTCTTTACCCCCCCCCCCCCCCAAAAAAAAAAAACACAACAACAATGGTATGTTCGGAACTTCTAGTACATTCGAGAGAAGAAGAAAAAAAATCAAATTAAAGGCAATTTCATCTTTTGAAACGTGCAAACATTCCACAGGCAATCACCGTGTAATACGTCCTCCGAACATGATTTCTACGGGATATGCAATGGGGCGTATCCGGACATCCACCCCCTGGACATCCACCCCCGGATAACGCGTATACGCGTGTGAAGCCCAGAGCTTCACACCATTTTGAATTTCGCATCTTTAGCACGCCTAAAGCTTGTTATTGACAAGATGAGCTCTGATTAGCTGTATGCAAATAAGTTCATACTGGGGGTACGGAGTTCAAGTGGGAAAAAAATTACGCGCCCGGGGCCGCCAGGGCAGCGTCTTTTTTAAACCTAACCTTGCCACGCTGCCCTATATATCAATATTTGAATATATGAATATTTGCGTTGGTACGGTATGGTGGAGATCAAAATTAAACCGACCAGAGGCTGGACTTTCGTTTTAAGTGAAAATAGGTTTGCACTTGTAATTTTTGTATGAAATCTCATTATTTGATGAATTGATAAATTACCGCATCGGATCCTGTATGCGTACGTATCGTGAATATTTATGACTAATAAATGACGTATGGTTCCTATTGAGCCAATCAAAGCCGCTACGTCAAAGACTGCCGAGCGGTCGTTGCCCGGAAGCGTCATTTTTTTCTGAGGCACAGATTGGGGCTTTAAAAAAAAAAGAGGTCTTGATTTAACCCTAACCCTAAACCTTACCATAGGCTCAACACGCACCTAACCCCAATCAGTGCCGCAGAAAAAAATAACGCTGTCCGGAACGCCGCCCAGTTCAAAATCGCTCGACGGCAAACGCTCGATAAGGTCGGTGCCCGGGCGTCGACCGCCCGGGCACCGAACGTATTTTGGTGCCCTAACGATCACCGGCCGGCCGCCGGGCAATTTCTTTAAAATCTGCCGGTGGGAGACCGCTCGGGAATCGGTAGGTCATCAGTCGGTCACTGCCGGGACGCCTCACAGAGAAGCTCCCCGATTTCGCCCAGTTTTTACCTAAAATCGACTGGCGACCGACGGGAAATCGACAAGGCATCGCCCAGGCATCGCTAGGGCTTTGCAGCCTGCACGACTTCTCCAAAAATCGTTGGGCGATGCCTAAATTCCAGCGGCGACTGAGCAGGCTACACATGCCGTCGGTCGCCGCTCTGAGTTGTGACCATAGCTTAAGTCTTTGCAATATGGGTAGAAATCGAATCGAAAAGGAACGGACTCGATCTCAGCCAGAAAATGTTTTGATGCCTGTGAAAATCGAAAAGAACTGTCATCTTACTTGACGTAAGCACGATGAGCAGGGATGGTAGTAAAGAAGACATCAGAATCACTAGGAGCTGGAGGGTTAGCGCTGTGTTCTGCTGGGATGAAGAACGATACGGTGAAATTGCTCTCACATGCGGGGCCCTGGCCCGGGATCACTCGGGTAGCGACCGGTGCAGTCATGGCAATCTTTTGCTCTGTAAAATAATTGTAAGGCAAGATTGTTATTGGATCAATTTCTAGAATGAATTGACTTGTATTTCAATTGAAAAGAGGTGTCTCAAGGGGAAATAAATAAAATTAAAAAGTTGAAATTGTAAAACGATGAAAATCTTCAAGATTGAAATATCCTCTTTATTCGCAACGATATGTGTAACGAAAGAAAAAGTGTAATTTAATCATGCAAACAAAGAGACAGCCCTCCATAGTTCCCAGGGCGGATCTAGGGGTTGTTTCGGCGGTTAACCCCCCTCCCCCCCCCCCCCCCACCTTGGGCGGCCAAGTGAGAAAAAAGAGTAAAACAGTAAAACGGCGCGATTTTGGGAAAATCCCAGATCCGCCATTGGGTCAACCCCCACTCCCCTCTTGGCAAAAAGCTACATCCGCCCCTGGTTCCCCCTACGTCATCTGACAGAGGAGGCTTGCACCTGAAGGCGAATGCTAGACAACCCCTACCCCTATCTCACCCGTGATGATATGAATAATGATATTCATTGAAATGCATGAGTATTATGGACGATAAACCGATTTGATAAGCCAAGAAGATAAACTTCCAGTAAAAATACTATGCAAATCATCGAGCAGGTAAAATGCAATGTTGAACAGGTAACTTAACTCTATGCTGATTGGTTTACTTTTTGTACATTATACTGGGATATAAATATACACGTTACGATTCAATACTTTGATTATTATGAAGATGTTATTGTTGAAATGGAAGTCGTTAAAGAAACTTAAATCCCCATTGTACTACGTAAAGCTACTTCCGCCCTCTATAGAGCAAACAATGCATAATCGGTGACCATTGGTCCCCCATGATCCTCTTTTTCTTATGTTAATTGAGAGCTGATTTGATGAGATAGCCACCTGTCAGTGACCTTGCAGGGTGGTTTAATTCCTCCTGTAAACTAGTACATTTTGGCTTTAAAACAGAAAACAGAAGATTATTGAAGAGTAGAGAGGAACAGACAATGATAGAACATTGAGGGCGCACTTACTCTGTTCATTGTTTCCCTCGATGTAGTTGAAGAGACGTTCAAATCCTTGGCTGGAAGCCGAGTCATAACTCATGCTCATTATCTCAGTGCTTACCCATTTAGATTCACTGTACTGGCGCTCCTCGTATCCCTGTTATTAAAGAAAAGATGGTGGAAACAAATTTGCATAAAAATCCGGCTTTGCCCTAATGTTAAGCCTCGGTCACAAATGCCATTACGAACTGCTACGAATGCCGTACGAACGATTTTCAGACAATGGAAATTCGGCAAGACAATGGAAAACAGGGAGATTCGTACGAAATTATCGCTCGTACGAACCTTTGTGTAGCATTACATAGAGATGAAGCATATATAAAATTAAAATATGAAGAAAACGACTCCGAATAGAGAAATACATTTTACATACTGCATGGGTACGATATCGCATTTTCTATTTTTAATATTTGATCATCATCATTTTTCACTTTAATTATGTCAAATTTCTCTGTGGAAATTATGAAATATGACACTATCAACTATTTCATTTTCTGATTTGAGACAATCATGATTATGACTTTTTCTGTTGTTGTTGTTCTTGTGGCTTTTGTATGTGCTGTTGTCATGGTTAATATTAATCTCGCAATTTGTTTTTTAAGTTGTTTATTTTATTTACTTAATTTGATCTATTTCCTGGGGATGAGCGGAGTATGACCCATAATGCTCAGTTTTGTTTTCATTTCCAACAGAACAGTAATTTGTACAAGAAATCATATATACAATTCAACATTCAATAATATAATCCTTTTTACATGGTTTAAAGTTGTGAAATAGAAAGAATACATAAATATCTTGTATAATGTTTTTTAATATTTTAAAAAGATAAACCTGTGGAAATAGAGGGATCTACTGAAAAGCAGAGTTGTGATAATTGTACATGTTGCTCCTGATGTATGCAAACTGCCCAAGGCATAGACACTTTAATAGAGAGTTCTACTAATATTGTATAAATATATAAAACATATATATATTATTTTAGTTATTAATATATATTGAATTATTCATTAATAATAATAATAATAATAATAGCCTAATAGTCCACTCCAAATTTTATTAAACCGAAACGGAAATTCTTTTTGCCCAATTGATCGTGAGCCCGGCAGCCACTGAGCAGCGCCAGATCGACGTTGCTCTATCTCTTATTCTTGAACGCCAAACAAGGTAGCAACAACTCCAATCTTTTAACGTCTTTTGGTATGACGCGGCCGCCGGGGTTCGAACCCACGACCTCCCGGTTGTGAGGCGGACGCTCTACTGACTGAGCCAACACTCCGGTACCTGTTATGAATGAATGAAGTACAATACTCGGGATCTCTTCATACAATATTGTTGATATGTCAGACAAGCCCCGGGCAAGCTTTAATGTTTTCAAGAACAACCCTTGTTAACAAATATGCATACAATTCGAATATGGGAAATAATATCGCTAGTGATATTCGTTTGTTTCTCAATGTATGGTCAACAAGGGATCTAAAAGATCGCGACGCGGTTTCGTGTGCCGCTGCTACATCCGATACCACATCCGCAATGAGTAATACAATTAGCATTATTATTATTATTAAACCTACTTTTATATTTGTTAAGATCTCTTCAAATATGACTTAACATGTCGATTCAATTCAATTCAATTCATAAGACTTTATTTCTGTTCAAAAGCGAACAAATATATACATGTGATTCAGTACAGACAGTTTAAAATATACAAATCATGAGCATTATGTTAATTAATTTAAACAAACTGTGAAAAAGAGTAGAAGGAAAAGGTAGCACCTGTAGGAAGCTTATGTTAGCTTGTTTATTTAGGCGTCCAAATTAATAAAATACTTAAATGACTTAATGACTGAACATGTTAATGAAATAAATCTTGATCTAAAAAAAAAAAAAACTATCCAAGAAAGACAATGAAAACTTACCTCAGACGATTGGATTGTAGTGAATTCAGGACACTCTAGACCCTTGCAGAACTTTGGAGCGTCTTGGGTGAAAACATGAGCTGAGAGACACATGTGTGTGGAGATCAACAGTAGAACGGTACTTATAACCCTTGCCATGGTTGGTGTGGCCTTTGAACGCTGAGGATCAGATTGAATGCTGTCAAGTACTCGTTCCAATCTTAGGTTTCCCAATGGTGTCGAACAGACACATCGCTGGGCTTTTATAGATTTGTCCTACCTTAGCAGTTACAACATCACTTGTTTGTGTTTGCAGAAGGCTACGTAAATGTCTTCGTCTATATATTTGTTTTGTTTTAGGCGAAATAACGTGCGTAAATAAGAATTGTGTGCCAACTCTGGAATTTAAATATTTGTTTTGCGATTGAGATAACTGGATAACTATGAGGACTTGTGTCAAAAGGCACGCTTAGAGACAAGATCTTCATCAATTGTGAACTAAACTGTCAACATAAAAGATTAAAGAATTACCTCCCAAGGCTTACACAAATATTTGATAAGCATTTCATAAGGGTTGAACCTTGAGAACAGTATTACGTAAAAAGTGGCGTAGTTATTGTTCTAGCATGAGGGTCCTATGTCATGTGGGGGGGGGGGGGGGGAGGGCAGCGGATCGAATTATCGGTTATTAAAAATGAAATCCCTCAGAACAAGCATATCACATGACGGGGCGTGTGAAGGGAGTGGTCTTCTCTCTAAGTTGTATAACTCCATGTCTCTTTTCTTTTCTTTTCCTTTTCTTTTTCTGATTCGCAATTCAATTTGGAGCCAGAATCATAACGGAGTAAATGAGAAGTAATATCAACATAAAGGCATCACTTAGGGATATTAACAAACAAAAGTAATATTCTGCATGATTTAATCTATTTGAAAAATATATTTCGTAGTCGGCAGGTTTCGAACCTGGGCGGGGAGACCAAAACAGATTTTTAGTCTGTCGCCTTAACCACTCTTTTTTTTCCTCCCTCACTCTCTCCGCACGCCCCACCTCTCTCTCTCTCTCTCTCTCTCTTTTTCTCTTAGTGTCTCTCTTTCTCTTTTTACTCTCTCTCTCTCTCACTCTCTGTTCGTCTTCTCTCTCCCCACTCTTCTCCCCTCCTTTCCTCTCTCCCTCCTACCACCCCTCCCATCCCCCTCTCTCTTTCTCTCTCTCTCCCCCTCTCTCTCCAGCTCACCCGACCATGTTGTGCATATCGCACTGTTTTTGTACATCATACTGTTACACTCCTTCCATCCTTCATTCCCAACTGATTTATATCGCAATGCTCCTCATATCTCCCTCTTTCTTTTTCCGTATTTCTCATTATGACATAGATACTTTTATATTAAACTTCTTTTGACAAAACCAATGATATTTTTTTGGTTCTAATGTATTTATAAAACAATTAACACATTATTTATAATTTTCATGGCACTAATCCATCTTTTTATGTTATCACTGTCATGGATAAGAATAATTCTATACAAGAATAAAAACATTAAAATAGCAGCAGTCCAAAATTAGGCTCAAGTTAGTCTTTAGTTTGCGACGAACCAGACCTCGTTGCGTCGGTTGAAGAGGGTGTAAGGACCGTTATAACCAGCCGTGTAGTAGTAAGAACTATCGTATGGGTGTGACGCGTCGAGAGCACGACCTAATTCAACGCCAGCCTGGACCCAGTCATCTTGAGACGCGAAACCACCAAAGGATCTGAGATCGGAATGAAATGAATGGAAATGGGGTCAATAGTCAAAGAATTTCATTGGTTTAGTCTGGGCACACCTAATTCATGCACAAGTTCTTAAAATAAATATAAAAAACACGATTGCCACTTCTAGTACATTCGAAAAAAATCAAATTGAAGCAATTTGACATTTTTGAAACTTGCGAACATTACAGTGGCAATGACCGCATATTACGTAATCTGAACATGATTTCTACTGGATATCCAATGGGGTACTGAAATTAATTGCCCTTGATCTGAGTTGATATTTCGAAAATATAGAGCTTGTAACAAATTGGGCTTTTTCCACAGCTGTTGTTCTCGCTAACACGAAATCTTCGCAATACGGCTAGAAATCGAAACGGAAACGATCTCCGCCAGAAAATGCAGGTGCGTAGCCATGAGGGGGGGGGGGTGGCGGTGGGGCAATAGCCCCCAAACAAAAACGCCGGCCAAAGAGAGACAGAGAGAGACAGAGAGAAAAAAAAAAAGGAAGAAAAAGGAGCAGATAGAAAAACATGTTTGAAAATTCAGACAAACATTAAGAGTCGAGAATGGTGCAATGAGTCGTCATCCTTCTCCGATAATTCAATGAAACGTCAAAGCTTCCGCGCTTCGTGCGGGAGGGGGTGAAACTGAATTCAAACAAGGATTAAGAGTCGAGAACGGTACATAGAATCGTCTTGTTTCTCTGAAAATTTAATGTTACGTGGTCAAAGCTTCCGCGCTTCGCGGGGGGGGGGGAACTGAATTCAGACAACGATTGAGAGTCGAGAACAGTTCAACGAATCGTCTTCTTTCTCTAATAATTAAATGAAACGTCAAAGCTGCACCCATTCCCCTAAGGAGCGTGCTTCGCGTGCTCACTACCGCCCCCTAAAATAAAATCCTAGCTACGCGCTTGATAAAAATATGTTTGATATGTCTTGCAAAATCAAAAAGAATTTAGTACGATGTATGTGATCTTACCTGACGTAAGCACGATGAGCAGGGATGGTACTAAAGAAGACATGGGAATCATTGGGAGCTGGTGGGTTAGCGCTGTGTTCTGCTGGGATGAAGAACGATACGGTGAAGTTGCTCTCACATGCGGGGCCCTGGCCCGGGATCACTCGGGTAGCGACCGGTGCAGTCATGGCAATCTTTTGATCTGTAAGAAGATTGAATGGCAAGAGCGTTATTTGACTATTTCTTTTATTTGGAGAAATAACAGGTTGGTGTGAGCACGATATCTTTTGTTAAAAACTATTCTCATTGCTCTTTTTTGCAAGAGATGCATTATACCCCAGGCAAGAGTTCAGTATAGATATGATCAGAATGCAGTACAATGTATGAGGAGTCTTCACAGGGGGAAAATGCTTTAGTTTCTAATAATACCAATGTTTCTTGATACTTTTTTGGAAGGTATTGTGTTTGTCTTGTCCATGAATGTTTTGACCGTCGATTATGACACCCAAAAATTTAGTTGATTCAAACTTATTTATGACAAAATCATTCATAATTATATTTTCTGGTATTGTAGAACAGGTATTTAATACTGAATAGCTTAACATTGGTTTTGTCAAGATTCAAAGGAAGTCTATTGGCTTAAATTCATTTGGCTACATTGTTTCATTCGGTATTGACAATTGTTATTAGTTAATTTCATTTCATTTATTGACCATTAACAAAAAAATATATACACTGTCGCTCATAAAGGTGGAATATTTTAGTTTTACCCCAATTCATGGAATTATTAAAAAATTATTTAAAAATAATAGATCTAGATAATAGTATACATTCTCAGATTTTATTGAATAATAATTAGCCAATGTGTGTTTTGCGGGACTGCTAAAGCATGTGTATGCTACTATGCTTATTAACTAGGGGACCTACGCCCTCAAGTCATAAATGACAGTAATGAGGATTAATGCCCCACAAAAAGGCACTACTATACTACATAAATTTTTAAAAAACACAGAAAATGCAATAAATTTGCAATAATTTATTGCATTTTACCCCGGTCCCCGAAATAAACAAATCCACTGGACGGCCATGCATCATGGCTCAATGCATGGACACACAGGAAAAAAAATTATGTTGGGAACCGGGGTAAAATGCAATAAATTATTGAAAATGTATTGCATTTTCTGTTGTTTATTTTTATTTATGGAAACTGCCCCCTACCCTAGCTCCCGCTGCGTACAGTCATGGTTCAGTGACAAAGCAATGGCCTCGTAACTGTGAGGCCCCATGATCAAAACCATGTCGATGTGCTATATATTAGTGCCCTTTTGTGGGGCATTAATCCTCATTACTGTCGTTTAAGACTTAAGGGCATAGGTCCCCTAGTTGATAATCACAGTAGCATGCACATGCTTTAGCAGTCACGCAAAACACACATTGGCAAACTATTATTCAATAAAATCTGAGAATGTATACTATTATCTCGATCTATTAGTTTTAAATTATTTTTAAAATAATTCCATAAATTTGGATAAAACAAAATATTCCACCTTTATGAGCGACAGTGTATACAAAACATCAATACAATAGAAAAAGAATATCAAAGAATAACAACATAAACAAGTAATAATGGCCAGGGCCTCTGAAAAGCAAGACTGTTGGCAATCGGGACCCTACATACAAGTACATTATAATAGAAATATAAATTTAAATGCACACGCACATATACACACACACTCACACATACCCACACGACATAACGGAGAACAGATATAAGAGGAAGGAAAAATACAAGATAAAATAGCTACGACGAGAGATCGAGATTATTTAAGGATTTGAATAAATGTAAAGTGCACGATGCTTTGAATCTGGACAGTTTTGTGCTATTTCTTATGACACTACTCAACAAATTCCATTTGTGTACCCATATGAATCTGAATGAATTACGAACAAATTAAATCTAGAGAAGGTTTTATATAAATATTGATGTTGTCTACTTAAATCAGTATACGTTATTGAGTTTGTTTGAAACATATTAGACATAATTATATTTAAACATAAAACTCCAGGTATTCAATCTTCAGTTCAATAAAGGCATAATTTTATATTTAACAAAAAGTGGCGCGCTTCGAGTCATATAATTAGAATTAGTCAACAGACGTACTGCCTTTTTATATCAAATAAACAATTGTAAAGTTTAATTTGAAAGTATTGCCCCAAATTATTGTACAATAGTTCAGATGAGGAAATAAAATAAAATGATAAATATTAAGTGATATTCTGAGGGTTGAAAATCCTTAAGTCTATACAATACACCAATACATTTAAGCAATTGATTACGAACATGATCAATATGTTTTTTCCAATCTGACTTTTCTTGGATGGTTACACTTAACAAGTCCATGCAATCTTTCAGTGTCATCTGCTAACAGAGAAAACTTCAATAATTTTGATGAATTAATAACATAATTTACATATAAAATAAATAAAATTGGCCCCAAAACTTAACCCTGAGGGACACCGATATCTATATCCATGTGTTTGGATTCGACACATACTGTTTACGACTTAACAAATAACTGTGAAACCATTAAAGCGGTATACCATATTAATTAAATTTTTTTCAAGAGAATTTGGTGATCAATGGTGTCAAAAGTCTTACCTTGGGTAAAGCCATTAACACCGCATAACAAAACTAACCACTGTTTAATTCTTGTAAAATGTATTAACTACAATTTAATATACTAAGTGAAGTACTGAAACCTTTACGAAAGCCAAATTGGTCATTAATAAGGATTTTGCCTTCATTAAAAAAATCATACAGTCTTCTGTGCATTTTTTTGTCTAGAATTTTACAAAAATATGGGTAACAAAGCCATTGGTCTACAATTTTCAATATTATTTATGTCATTTTTTTATATATTGGTTTAATCTTTGCAATTTGTTAACTATCCGGCAAAATACCACTCATAAAAGATTTATTAAATACATTGCACAATGGATGAACAAAATAATAGATACATTGTCAAACAACTTTTGACGAAAAACCATCTGGTCCACAAGCTTTATTACATTTTAGAGTTGATGCTATTTCTATAATCTCATTGACAGAAGTTAGTTTGATACACACTGTTGGTCATAATGGTGGAATAATTGTTTTTACCCCAATTTATGGAATGATTTTGACAATGATTTATTCCTAATAGAGCTAGATAACAGTATACATTCTCAGATTTTATTGAATAATAATTTGTGAGTGTTTTTTTTTGCGTGACAGCTAAAGCATGTGTGTGCTACTATGGTAATCAACTAGGGACCTACGTCCTTAACTCATAACTGACAGTAATGAGGATTAATGCCTCACGATTGAAGCCTCACATTAATATAGCTGATCGACACGGTGTTTATTCTGGGGCCTCACAGTAACGAGGCCATTGCTTAGCCACTGAATCATGACTGTACGCAGCGGGCGCTAGGGTACGTCGCCGCCCCCACAAATACCCCCCCCCCCCCCCCACAAAAAAAAAATAATAATAAAATGAATAATAAATCAAAAAATAATAAAAAAATAATAATAAAAAAAAAATAAATAAAAATAAATAAATAAATAAATAAATAAATAAAAAATTAAAAAAATGCAATGAATTATCAATAATTCATTGCATTTTGCCCCGACCCCCAACAGGAAAAATTCCTCTGTAGGGCCATGCATCATGGTTCAAGGCATGTCCACATATAGGATATAAATATACAGGTTACGATTCAATATTTTGATTATTGTGAAGATTTTATTTTTTAAATGGAAGTCGTTAAATAGAGGACGATAGAATAATAGATCGGGGAACTGACAATGAAAGAACATTGAGGGCGCACTTACTCTGGTCATTGTTTCCACGGATGTAGCTGAATAGACTTCGAAATCCTTGACGTACAGCTGAACGCCTATCCATGCTCATAATCTCAGTGCTCACCCATTTAGATTCACTGTACTGTCGCTCTTCGTATTCCTGTTCAAAAGAAGATCGTGGAAAAGGTTTGCATAAAAATCATGCTATGCTCTCAAGTTACATAGACACAAATCAATCATACAACAATAATAATAATACAAAGAAGAAAATGGCACCGAATATACTTTAAAGTTCGAGATCAGATGTGTTCTTCAAATAGTTTTTTCTTCATTTTTATAAACTTTTCGATCATCATCATGCTTGTATTATGTGTCCTACACTGTAAAAATATAATAGTCGAAATAACTCAATAAAATTGAGGAAAAGAATTGCCTTATTTTTATTAAGTAAATATTACCTACGGCATCTTAAGTAGAATTTACTTATTATTTTGCTGAATAAATTTTTACTCAGTTAAATCGAGTTACATTAACGTAAATAATTTAAGTATTGTAATCATTTTAGATAATTAAAAAAAAAACTATGATAGGATTAGATATTGCACGATTTGGTACCCCATCTAATCTAACAAGTAACATCCACTAATCATTCACTACTTCTATTTATGATTTAACCGTATATATATATATACACCACCATCACAAACTATTACATACGCTTCAATTCGACACATATAGAAAGGCTCCAAATTTTATATATACTTGATCGTAGCATCTTAAAAGGAAAATTGGTTGACAATTTCCTGAAATATCAAGTTTTGATTTGTTTTGAACTGGGTAACATCTAAAAATTGTCTTGTGTTTGCTTAGCCATGTGAAATGAATTAGTAAATGTTTTAAAGTCCTTAAATTTTCATTTAACCAGAAAAAGAATTGTTTTATTTTAAAAAGAGTTTAATTTGGTCTTAATGAATATTCATAAATTATGTAAATATTTCTATTACGCACTGCATCGGTCCTTACTTTAAAAAGATAAGATTAATCAACATAAATTGTTTGAGTAATACGTATAAGTTCTGATTTTGAGTTAAAATTACTAAATTAATACAAGCTGAAATTACTTAAAGTTTTTATGTATTTGATTTTACTTAAATATTCCACGTATGTTCTACTAAATTGAAAGTTTGAGTTAGCAAGGCTTAAATTTAGTGCGTAAGTGGCAAAACTAATGTTTTCAAGTAAATTCTACATGGAAAAAATAGGTAAAAATTACCAATGAACACATTCTTTTTTACAGTGTATTCATTTGTGGAAATTAAGGAAAACGACACTATCAACCATTTTATTCTATGATTTGGGTTAACTATTCTAATGATTATTTATCTTATTGTTGGTACGTTGCTATTATCTATGTATACACGTACATTAAAGGTAAAGACCAGTTATGGTCATGCGATTGCATTGTGAAAAAAACGTTGTGGAATCGATCAGAAAGGTTGATCATCTAGCATCTAGCATCTGCAAGGTTCTGGAATCATCAAAATGATAAGAAATTTGGCCCATTCTTCGTTAAGTTACAAGCACTATACACAGAAAGATGTATATGGGACTACCCTATATCTCTCACAGTCCATGAGAGAAACAAATTTACCAAATGTATGAATTAGTAGGCGGTTTCCCGGCAAATTTTTTATCATCATGTATTAGTCAAAACATATTCTTTCACATGATTGGTAATGAGAGCTTCCATTTCATTTTTTGAAACTGGGGCGTTTCCAATACTGGTCTTTACCTTTAAGGCGGCATAACATGCGTCTAAAGTTGAATTGAGTAGGAACTCAGGGGGGTGTTTCGCAAAGACTAAGATTGACTTTAAGTTGGACTTAACCATGAAAGTCCATTTATGCCACTTGCTCCTATCACCATTATGATCTTAACATAATATTTTTCCCTTCAATAATGAATTATCAAACAACGTGAATTCTGTAGATTTGTGACCATGATTTGTACCTCCCTTGAGAGACCAATGCCAGTAAATGGTGACAGCAAACAGTGGCATTAATGGCCTGCCATAGTTAAGTCTAACTTAAAGTCTTTGTGGAACACCCTCCAGGTTGCGTTTGAAGGTGTTGTCGTCAGGTTAATATTGCATACAATTCAAATATGTTCGTAGACCTATGTCTTTCTCTCAACATGTTAACACAAACAATGTTAAGGTAAGACCAGTTTTGGAAACGCCCCCCTCTCAAAAAATGAAATGGAAGCTCTAATTACCAATCATGTGAAAGAATGTTTTGACTAATACGTGATCATACAAATTTTGCCGAGAAACCGCCTACTAATTGATATATTTGGTAAAGTATTATATCTATTTGGACCTGATAGATATAACACGTGTCGCGCACGTGTGCGTAGTCCCATATACATCTTTATGTGTACATTTATGCAGTGGCGGATCCAGGGGGGGGCCCGGGGGACCCGGCCCCCCCCCCCCTTGAGAAAGAAATCATGTTAAATTACGTGATTTTTACCTTTTTGGGGGGGGGGGGTGCAAATCGAAATTTTTTTGAGGATCAAAAAAAATGTGCTCACTACCCCCCCCCCCTCCCCCCCCCCCCCCCCCCCCCCCCCCCCTCCCCCCCCCCTCACTACCCCCCCTCCCCCCCCCCCCCCCCCCCACTGAACGAATTTTTGGCCGGCGCGTTTTTCAAATTTTCGGGAGCAAAAAAAAAAAAAAAAAAAAAATTGTGCTCTGTACCCCCCCCCCCCCCCCCCCCCCCCCCCCCACTGAGCGACTTTTCGGCCGGCGCGATTTTCAAATTTTCGGGAGCAAAAAAAAAAGAAGTTGGGCCCCCTCCCCTAAGAAATCCTGGATCCGCGCCTGCATTTATGTGTAACGTTACCAAGACTGAGCAAAATTTCTTATCATTTTGATGATTCCAGAACCTTGCAGTACACACCAATACTAATATGCTAGATGGTCAACCTTTTCTGACCGATTCCACAACGTTTCTTTCACAATGCGATCACACGACCATAACTGGTCTTTATCTTTAATCTCAAATATAATAAAATAGTCTCCAAGAAAGACGATGAGATCTTACCTCAGACGAATGGATTACGGTAAACGCTGGACAGGCTATACCGTTGCAGAACAATGGAGCTACTGGTGTGACAACATCAGCTGGTTCTGGAACTGCTATCTGAGCTGAAAGACACATGTGTGTGGAGACCAACAGTAGAACGGTACTTATAAACTTTGCCATGGTTGGTGTGGTCTTTGAGCGCTGAGGATCAGATTGATTGCTGTCAAGTACTCCTTCCAATCTCAGGTTTCCTAATGGTGTCGAATAGACACATCGCTGTGTCTTTATAGTTTTGTCTTATCTTAGCAGTTACAAAAATCAGTTGTTTGTGTTTGCAGAAGGTTAGGTAAGGTTTCTTGCCAACATATTTGGTTTGATTAAGGCAAAATATAAGGTGCGTTAAAAAAGATTGGTTTGTCAACTCTAGAATTTAAATATTTGTTTTGTGATTGAGATAACTGGAAACTGTGAGGACTTGTTTCAAAAGTCACGCTTTATAGAATCATGCCTCGTAACATCGTTATCGATTGTCAACTGAACTGACATGAAAAAAGATAGATAGGCGTACAACAATGTTTGATAAAAGCAATTCCATGCTTTTTTAACTTCACCCCAATTGTTACGTAACCAGTGGTGTAGTGATGGTCCTAGCTATTTTTCTTTCTTCGTGAGAGAGGGGACACAACGGATCTAATCATCATTCATTATAATTTAAATAAGTGAGAACAGCCTTTTTACCTTAGAGGGTGTGTACACTGTCTTGTAAAGGGTGTCTCTGTAAGTTGTAAAACTCCATTTTCGGGCATTTTCTTTTCCTTTTCTTTTCCTTATTCGCCATTCAATTGGAATACACTGGCCAGCCAGAATACAGAACAACTAAAAAATTGGTGACGACAGAAAGAGAGAGGACCACCTCCATTAGTAGTAGTGGTAATGCCATATACATTTGTATTATTATTAATATCGTATAGTTACACAAATCACAATTGTTTTCATTCTCTTATAAATAAGGGTTTCTTTTTCACCCGAGAATTTTATACACGTGCATAGTAATGTGACAATATTTACACTTAATGATTAGTAAGTTTACCGTGGTTGAGCTAATCAATTCAAATCTGGTTTCCGTATTTGTTTATATCTCGTGCTCACGTAACGCGCTGATTTTTGGTGAGATATGCCGCCGACTGGAGGTGATCATGAGATATCCCCGACGACTTTTTATCTATTTAATTATTTATTTCTAATGTTATGTCAGGGAAGCCCATTCACCAATCAGTAATGGTCTTCCATGGGGCTCTGAATAATCATGAACATATTTACGTCAACAATCACAACGTTTATACAGAACATTAACATAAAAATCCATCGTACATTTAGAAAGAAATTTAACACAGCAATAACAGACGTGGTATAAAAGAATACTCGTTTGCAAAATTACCATTGACCTAGTTCAACTGTAATGCCAATAGGAAATATGATTAAGTCATGCACGTAGTGTATTTTCGGCTGAGCTATTCATAAATTACAACTTTGTTTAAACAATCCCTTAAATTAATTGACAGAGGAAGCCGTAATTCTCATCGAATTATATGTAGCTTATTCCATTCAAATATAGAAAAACAATTGGGCTACACCTATAACAATCATTGTGAAATCTGGGCACACGTAAACATCCATACATACATTTTATATATACTTATATAGCGCCTTTACATAAATACGTAAATAAAAACGAACAAATCGCTTTACATTAGTAAATAAAAACGAAATAATTATTTTGCTCCCTAAGTGCATACACTGACAATTTGTTGTGTAAAGCTGTGTAGAGTTATTCGAAAAGTTGCGCACCAAATGAACCTAGCGATTCATTTCTGGTTCTTGATGGCTAATGTATGATCATTAGGATTGATTAAGCCTACCTGAAGGTAAGAAGGGGCTAAATTATGAACGCATTTCATCATGACGCGACTTAACTCAAACCGTGTGTCTAGTGTCATCCAGTTTAGACTTGTGAACCAATCAGCGGACGGTGTGTCATATGTCTTGTTCAATATCATTCATGCCAGTGGCGGATCCACCCCCCCCCCCCCCCTTGAAAAAAAAATCATGTAAAAACACGTGATTTTTACCTTTTTGGGGATTGGCCCCCCCCCCCACCTGGCGTTCAAAAAAAGGACCCCCCCCCAAAAAAAAAAAAAAATGTGCACACTACCCCCCCCCCCCCCCCCCCCCCCCCCCCCCCCCCCCCCCCCCCCCACTAAGCGACTTTTCGGCCGGCGCGATTTTCAAATTTCGGGAGCAAAAAAAAATAAATAATAACTTTAAGGATTGTTTAGGTAAATGTTGTTAAGGTAAGTTTACGTTTTCGATTTGTTTAGAGTCTAGGGTTAGGGTAGACCGATATTTTTTGTCTCTTTCGTTCGTTAGCCTCTGATTTGGATAGGGTCGCCTCCTCTCTTTAGAGACAGAAGCGAACCATAGGCGCTACAGTGTGGGTTCGGTGGACTGATCTCACGTACCACCAAACTTATGAACAAATACTCTATGTTACCGGATCTGCATATCCGATGCATTTAATTTTGAATATTAGGCCTAGGCTATATCGGTTCCACTTACCGTAAACTTGACTGAAATAATCTGTTTAATAATAATAATAATAATAATGGGTTCTCGTATAGCGCTAATGTCAGTCAGATTTGACCCTCCTGGCAGATCCAGGAATTTCTTACCGGGGGGGGGGGGGGGGGGGGGGGGCACAAAATCGCATGGGTGAGAACCGCCCCTCACTGAGTAGGAAGCATTTGCAATTTTAAACCACATTATGCGCATTTTCAGGCACTTCATTTAAGAACCACATTTGGCGCATTATTGACCAACACCCTAATGTCCACCGGCACTTCCTGGAAAAAAACGAGGCCATCTGATTGGTTAGAAGTTAGAGAAAAGTGACATGTCACGTCGCTAGATCGACGTTGTATAATTATGCTGCGTTGCGGACAATGCACAAAGACAGTGGTTTGGTACTTCCTTAGTAGTACTTGCAAAATTTGTATCTAGTGTATTAACTGTGTTGTTATTAGGGGCGTCGCTAGACCTCTTTCAGTGGGGGGGGGGGGGGTGTAGAGACAACCGATTTCACTTTGACACTTCATTAAAGTATTAGAGAAAGAAGACGATTCGTACGTTCCCGACTTTTAATTCTTCTTTCGCCCCTCCCGCGCGAAGCGCAGAAGCTATGACTTTTCATTAAATCATTATAGAAAGAAGACGATTCGTTGTACTGTTTTCGACTCTTAATCCTTGTCTGAATTCAGTTTTCCCCCACGTTTCATTAAGTTAATTGTTAGAAAGAAAGAAGACGATTCGATGTACCGTTCTCTACTGTAAATCCTTAGTTTCCCCCCTTTCCGCGCGAAGCGCGGAAGCTTTGACGTTATATAAAATTAATAGAGAAAGAAGACGATTCTTTGTACTAGCTGTTTTCATTTCTTAATCCTTGTCTGAACCCAGTTTCCGCGCGGAAGCTTTGCCATTTATTGGAGAAAGAAGACGATTCGTTGTACCGTTCTCTATTCTTAATCCTTGTCTGAATTCAGTTTCCCTTCGCGCGGAAGCTTTGACGTTTCATTAAATTATTATCATCCCCCTTTCTTTCTTTTCCCTTCTCATTATTCTCCTATATATCCCCCCTTTCGCTCCTCTGTCTTTCCCCCTTTCTTCCCTTTCCGCCTTTTCTCTCCTCTCTCTTCCCCTTTCTTCTTTCCCCCCTCCTTTTCTCCCTATAATTCCTCCTCCCCCTTTTCTTCTTCTTTCTCTCTCTCTCTCTCTCTCTCTCTCACCTTTTCTTTCTTTCCCCCTCCTTTGTTCTCCCTTTCTTCCCTATTCTTTTCCCCCGGCCTTTCGGCCTCCCCCTTTTTCAATATTTTTTTGAATGGGGGGGGGGGGGAACGTGCCCCCTGTGCCCACCCCCTGAATCCGCCACTGGTTTAATGGTTATTTTTCAGGAAATTATGGGTCAAAATCGACATCCATGTTGAAAATCTTAGTTTAATTTTCAAAGAAAACGCTCTCAATTAGAATCTCAGAGCTAATCATGGTACATGTACCACCATTATCAATACAGAATACACTTTATATATTGTGAGTCTTACTAACATGAAATAACGTCACAATTGTAGGAAAATGGACAACAACTGTAAACAATCGCAGGGTTTGGGTCAAGAAATTGTCTCCAGGCCAGTATTATAAAGAGCTCATTGAAACTGGCGACCATTTGGCGACCAATAAGGAGGAGGCTAGCCACCAATAATGCAAATTATAGTGTCTCCAAATCGTACAATCGAAAAGGGAAAAAAAAATCAGCACATCGCGGCCGACGGAGGTTTAAACAAAACAAATTGATAGCAAAAGAAGAATTGAGGGGCGAAAGAAAAATTAAGAGTCGGGAACGTACGAATAGTCTACACCAATTTAAAGCCGAGATCTTACTCTTTACTCTCATATTACATTACAGGAGCAGATCACATGCCGAAACTTTCGTCTGAGTCTTATCGTTTCAGATTGAATATAGACATAGGCGCCGGAAGTGGGGGTGGGGGGGGGGGGGGGAGCGCTCGCTTCCCCAACCAAAAAAAGTGGGGTGGGCAAAACGCATTTTCTCCCCCCCCCCAAAAAAAAAAACACCCCCCCCCCCCCTCAAAAAAAAAAAAACAGTAGGGCCTACAGGAGTAAAGACAGGTTGTACTTTTTAACCCAAAAGAACATAAAACATAAAACAACCTGAATTGAATCACATATATACTATATTCCATTCAAAGAAAGTAACAGGAATTTATTAACCTATACATTCCGCATGCCTTTATATTCATCAATGGAGGTTTATAGAATAGCGTTACGCGCATTTCGTGGAAATATTGTGAGAGGATGGGAAATCATTTTTTTTTAAATTTTTATTATAGGGGTGAGAAGACATGAGCCCCCTGAATACTGGTGTAGCCTACTGATTGGGGGGGGGGGGGTATTTCTAATTCGATATCAGTGATTTGCAAATGCTGCTAAGATGAGATGATTTTCCGGTATTTTTATAGCTTTAAATCATAGCTTTTTATGCGTTTGTTGGAAAATTACAAATTCCCGAATTTACAGTCGGGAGAAAAAATGTGCTTATTTAGAAGCCTTCATGTCAGGGCCTGCAGAACGTCGGGGCTTGGGGGCTTGAGCCCCCCTCACTTTTTTGAAAAAGTATGTTAAAGGGAAAAAGAATTAAGAGAGAGAGAGAGAAAAAAAAAATGAGTGACCTGCCAATTAAAGGGATCCGGTAACTTTGTCTCAGATTCTGAAAACATATTCTGGATTTAGCTCATGATGCAATGATAATTATAAACCTTTAGGTCAGTCAGGAACCCCGTGACTTTTACAAGCCGATCGCCTGTCTGATTATCAAGATATTTATGATTGGAATTACAAATTTTGAAAACCGTTCGCCTGACGGTTTTCATAACACTACAGTCTATTGGGGAAAACGAGTATGGTAAAACCGGTCACTCAAAGATTTTTACTTTTTTGAGGCACTTCTTGATCATTTTGAAGCGCAAGTTTTTTAGGGCTTCAATATTACATCATATCACAGACACTGATAACACGGTACGTAGGGCCGTTTATCTCAGATTTAACATTGTTAAACGATCCCTTTAATGAGGTAGCAAAATATGCTCATCTGATCGTAATTAATGCCTAAAACCCCTAAGCTTACGGGGGCTCCGCACCCTGGACCCCATCAACGGCCCTAAATTAGGCCCCTGGATGCTATTCTGACCGTAATTAAATACCTAAAACCTCTGGATCCCCGTTAAGAGCCCTCTTTCTGGATGCTCATCTCACCGTAATTAAATACCTAGAACCCCTGGGCGTCCGGGGGATCAGCCCCTTGGCCCCAGCCGGGGCAAAGCCCCTAGACCGGGCCCACGCCAACTTACGCTCCACTCGCTTCGCTCTCTACGCTCTATCTGATCGTTAATACTCCACTTTGAAGAAACGTTTTGAGGCCGGAGCCTGCATGTAACATGTGAGAGTGGTGGTGAAACAGATTTTTCTTCTGCCCCCCCCCCCTGCTCATTATGCCACTGCCCCTGGAAGATGAGCCCCCTGGAATGTTTGCCCCCCCCCCATCCACATCTGCTTCCGGTGCGAGGGCTCAAACTTGCAAACCAGAAGGCTTATCCGCACTATACAGAAAATAATTGCCAAAATGCGTTTTACCTTTGAAGGCTATTAAAACTCTATCGTATGACATTTTAAGTAAATCATGACCGACACGGATGTAAAGCTGAGATCTTACTCTATACCAGGGGCGGCGATTTCGTTTCATGACCGGGGGTGGGGGGGGGGGGGAATGCGAGGAACGAGAGAGGAGTGACGTAATGAGCAAAAACGTTTATAGGGGGGGGGGGAGAAAAAATCTGCATCATTACCTCTCTTACATGTCACATGGAGGCCCCGCGGAACGTTTTTCAAAGTGGGAGGGGCTAAAGTATTTGCGACCAGATTGAGCAAAGCAATTAAGTGGGGTGTAAATTTGGCGTGGGTCATATAAGGGCGGAGAGAGTTTTTAGGCATTTAATAAGGGTCAGATGAGCATATTTTGAAACCTTATTTGTGACACTTGCATGCAGGTCACTAATCGAGGTGGGGTCCAGGGGGCGAAGCCCCCAGAAGCTCAGCGGTTTTAGGCATTAAATTACGATCAGATGAGCACCCAGGGGCCGCCTTAGGGCCCTTGGTGGGGTCTAGCAGGCGGAGCCTCCGTAAGCTCAGGGTTTTATGCCTTTGGGGGAAGAGAATATGGTCAGATGAGCATCCATTGGCCCGCTTAGGTCCCAGGTCCGGAGCCCCCGGAAGCTCAGGGAAAATCATGCCATTTCAGTAACATTTGTAAATTAGTCACTGGTATAGAATTAGAAATAAACCACGTTTGAATTTTATCTGGTGGGGGGATGGGGGGGGGGGGGAACTACCCCAAGCACGAGTGAGTGAGCATAGTGAACGAGAGGGGTGAAGGTGACGAAAGTGACTATGCCCTCACAGGTTTTGAAGTTTTGTTGTATGACAAAATTATATTCCTTAATTAGCAAAACTATAGTATGAAAACAAACAATATACTTTTCTCACTTCTCTTTTTTTACAATATTTACTTGTACATTTTGAAGGATATTATGCGAGGGAGCATATAGCTCCCGAGCCAGAAGATTTTTTTTGCATTTTTATTTGTCTAAACGCTGCACTCTTGGGCCCTCCAAAGCCTAATAGTGTGTTGCAGTCAGTATTTGCTGTACATTTTTTTTTTGCAACTCAGCATGTGACCTATGATAGAGAAAAGAGTAAGATCTCAGCTTTAAATTGATGTAGGCCATTATTTGATTAAATGTTATCAATTTGTGTTGTTAAAAAATCCAAATATATTATTTTACTCAAGTTGTGGCCGTTACCGTCAGCTGCGATGTGCAATTTTTTTTCTTCCTTTCCGATTGTACGATTTGGAGACACTATAGCCTCCTCATTATTGGTCGCCAGTTTCAATGAGCGCCACTAATCTGGAGATTCCTTGACCTGGAGATAATTTCTTGACCAAAACCCTGCGATTGTTTACATTTGTGACGCTACTTCATGTGAGTAAGACTCAAAATATATAAAGTGTATTCTGTATTGATTATGTTACATGTCGCTATGATTAGCTTTGAGATTCTGTTTGAGCGTTTTCTTTGAAAACGAAACCCACTTTGTCCGTACAATAATCAGCATGATCAGCGCTGTGCCCTGTACTTAGCCACACATCATGACATAGACTCTACATGTACAGTGTAGCTGCTATCCTAGCCTGGCTAGCTGTGTATAAATAAAATTGAAACTGTTGAGACGACCTAGACCCAGGGGCGTCTCCAAAGGAGGGGGGGGGGGGCGGTGGGGAGGGGGATGCGACACCCCACCCCCCCCCCTCCTGTTAGGAGATCGTCAGTAAAATTATGCTGCCGTCGGGGAAAAAGAGAAAAGGGGAGAGGGGAAAAAAGAAAAGAGGGATATTATGGGAAGAAAAGAAAAGAGAAAAGGAAGAGGAAAAAGAGAAGAGAAGAAAGAAAGAAATAAAAAGAAAAGGAAGGAGGAGAGGAAAGAAAGGAAAAGAAAGAAAATGAGAAAAGAGAAAAGGGAAAACACAAAAACGGGGGATGAAAGAGAAGAGCCTGAGAGAGGAAGGTGGGAATAAAAGAGAGAGGAGGGTTGTTGGGTGGAGTCGTCTCGTCGAGGGAGCAAGAAAGACACGCATATATGTTGCTGTGTCGGTATTCTTGCTCAATCCTCGTGTACTAGATCTAGAGTAGAGTCTCCGGTTTGCGGCATAGCCCGGTTTGCGGCCAGGGGTATCGGTCTTCAAAATAAAATAAATAGAGTAAAGGAGCCCGTTTTCGGCCACTTAAGACAAAATCCTATTTTTAGGACTCTTTACTTCCTATTTATTATCATTTCTTGTTCAAATCATGAAGCAAATATTATTATTATTTAAACAAAAAAAGAATCCCAGAAAAAAATCACGAATTGCCATGACAATATTCATTTCAATTTTCACTGTTTTGGAGCCAGTTATCGGCCGAGCGTTTCAGTTTACGGCCGCATGTACAAAGTCAATAGGAAGCGCTCGCGCGCGCCGTGCGTTTCCGCGCTGATGTACAGCACAAGCGTGCGGAGCAGGTATCCCACGCCAGAGCTACCTGGTGCTCGCCTGGTCGAAGACAGGCACAGCGGTGATCGGAAGTTGGAATCTGAATTAGACAGAGATATCGTGTGTGCGTCGCGGTGTGCGGCTGCATTGATTTAATACATGCGATGAGATACTTTTGAGCTTGCGACTAGCACAAAATCGGGCTCTAAATCTGAAAAATACTTGAAATAAAGCTCATTTTATGGTACCCATATTTCTTACAGACACGCGTAAGATACTCGATTTTTCAGATTTGGGTAGCGGGACCGGCGATTACATCGCTAAAATGTGATATTTTAGGATATATTTTCCATTGCAAATGTGGTTCTTCAGTGACACTGGCATGGTATGGTATGTGTGGGATATGTGTTATGGTATTATGCGATGTATTTTAGAGTGATTTTACCTTGCATCCAACCAATCGGCCGAAAACTGGAGCTGGCCGATTACCGGCTCCTTTACTCTATGACTCAATAATAATTGAAACCTACGTACTGTGGGTTCTGCTTTGCCAAAAACGTCTGTAGCAGATGCTCCTGTTGGTAGAGTATCCGTCGGCGATGTCGGAAATCTACGGCACTAGTCGCCGATGAAAATTCCAGCAGGTGCTAACTTTTAAGTTAAGAGATCGAGGCATGACTAGATCAATATTGTAGCTCTATTTGTCCGATATTTGTCCGATATTTGTCCGATTGGAGGTGAAATTTGATGTTTTTGTGGAAGTATGATGGCTGTGGTCTGTCTCCTATCGCAGATATTTTGATTGTGCCACCGCATGGCCAGTTGCATGGGGTGGCCAGAAACCGGCATGTAATTGCGTGTTTTTCTGGTTTGCGGCCAGGGGTGTCCATACACACATAACATGCGGGATCGTGTATGATGGTATGTGTGCTGATGTGTGTACCCGCTATGACCCGATAGTTTCTAGTAGTACGTACCCCCGTATGGGATGATCCATTCGAGGAAAAGGTGAAATTGTTTAAAACTTGACAAATTTACTGTAGCAACAGATAAACATGAGAATTTGGGTTACCTGTAGTAATTTGGTATATGCTTTGATCGTGACGTAGCGCATAAAGCTTTGTGACGTACGCGTGCCGCAAACCGGGTAATGCGTGCCCGCAAACCGGGGAACACGAAGCATTTCGAAACGTGGTCAATGCAGACCACGCTGTGGGTCAGTTAGGTTATTTGTTACTTCTATTTAATAAGTAAGTATATGGACTCTATATTGAGGGTATTGAAGTATTCTGTGAGTATTTGCATAAAAATAGAATCGGCAGTTCCCGCCGATCGGCCGCACACCGGAGCCACTACCCTAGTTACTACTATATCAATGCAGAAGTTTGAAGTCAGTGAGATGTTAAATGTCGGTCGGCTGACAAGTATTTTTCCCCTATGAACTGTGCCTTTTATCCGCTGTGACGACTTCTAAGAGAGAGACTAATACTTGTATTTTCTCGAAGTTTCACTTTTCTATAATATCAGCTAAAGAAATCGGAGGTTAACATTTTTTCGGGTAACTACATGTAAATTCAAACAAGGATTAAAGATAAAGGTGAGTTCTGGTCCTCCGATTGCATTGTGAAAGAAAGGGTGTGGAATCGACCAGAAACGGTGGATTATACATGTAAGTATTGGTGTGTCAATGTACACAGAAAGATGGGACTACACGAACACGTGGCGTAAAAATCCGTCCTGATTTTTATGATGTTACATGACATATTTAGAATATGAAGGCATTTGAAGAGCCATGCTTTTCAGGGAACATGTTTTATCTGATGTTCTTCCACACTTGCATTTTAACAATGATAATGCTCACAAATTATTTTTCACCTCTTCCCAGAACTCAACCTTCTCTTTAAGAGTCAAGAACGGTACAACAAATCTTCTTCTTTCTATAATAATTCAATGAAGCGCCAAATTTTCTGATCAGCCACTTCGTTTTCATTGTGTGCATTTTTTTTTTGGCACCGCACACACGCTAAATCTCCATGTAAAATCAAAAACACATATTCAATCGTAACGAGACATGACGGAGGAAAATCAGCGGCGGTTTCTGTAGTTTTTCTCCCCCCCCCCCCCCCCCCCCCCCCGTCCACTCCGTGAATGGAGGGATACCATGCATGTTCCCAAAATGTCCGGTAAAGGGGTACTTTTCACCTATCAGAGTCCGGCCCATAGTACATGTACACAAAAATCCAGCCCGTGTTGACTTTACACAACAGAATTAGGGGGGTGTTTTCAAAAGGAGGGAACATGCATATATGCGTACCCTAAATAACACTGAGTGGGGGGCCTGGGTTTTTCTACATGATCAATAGAGGTCGTCTAGACTAAACAGTTTTTAATACACAAAAAGTATTAAACGGTGCGAACGAGCTTTGCGCACAGTCCCATTACGTGGCGTCATTTCCCTGACCTTTTTTCTGATAACTTATTTTGTATGTCCGCGGCATGGCAGGCACAAGAGAGATCAGACTCGACTCCACACCCCTCTCAGTCTCACATTGAGATGATCGTCTCACTGTCAAGTCAAGTGGTCATTGTTTTTGTTGATGTTGGTTTAATGGCCATTGATGATTGACATTGTCCATTGCCATGATCGCGACATCAGGGATTCTTCCACATCAGTCGTAAAAAACTAGTTTTTTAAAAATTTTAATCTGTTTCTATTTTGATTATTTGAATTTAAACAACTTAAATTTCTATTCCTTTAATTGTATTATAAATGACTGATGTGGAAGACTAGTCAACGCACCCTTTCGGCTTTTGACGGATGGTCGCGTTAAAGTTAACGTGACGCGACGCTACCCACCCTTTCGGCAAAACGGAGATATAATGTTGTACAAATAAATTACTTTAAAGAAATACTGTAAATGTAGATTTGTAGCTAACAGCTACTACTACTAGCTAGTTTTCAATGAAGCCAACACAAATAGTTTGCCTTATAAATACATTCATTTATTTAATAAGTGATTAAAAACTGTGGGAAAATGTTTTCAGTACAGAATTTTGTCATTCTCCTTCAACTGCTTTTCATTTCTTTTCTTACCTTAGCTATTGGGAGTTGATGTCATGCCAGGAGAGTCATGGACTACAACTACATGAACCAGCCAGGCAACCCAAGCCAGCACCAGCACCCAGTCACTGAGTACATGCACCCTACCACAGCACACTCACAGCATGGCGTATACCAGCAATCCATACCACTGCACCAGCCATCCCAGATACCCTACACCGCAGGTATGCTGCCCCCTGAGTTCAGGGTCGGGATTGGCAGTGGGCATGCACCCGTTGATTCGTCACAACTTGGGGAGGTGGCCAGGAATGAAAACGTTGTTACCATGGTGACTGTATCAGGTGAGTAGTCAACCGGCCATTGCCAAAGTGGAGGTGTTATGGTGACTTTTTATCAATGGGTTGAGGGTTCAAATCCCACCCCGGCACTCATGTTCTTTGTCAAGTCATTAATCCACATCTGCCACTCTCTACCTTGGTGTAAATGGGTACATATAGTACCTGATATGCTAGAACCCCAAATGTTTGGCAATAATGCAATTTGTTGTAAAAGTCCTGTGTATTCTGCTCTGGATTCAGCCTTTAAAAATGAATGGCAGCATAAACAATTTTTAATATACTGCATCCAAGTATTTTATCTGTTGATTTCTTTATGCAGTGCCTCCAAGTACAACAGCATTTTTCATGGTGAAGGAATTCCTTATAAACCCTCCTAAAACAAGATGAAATGAATAGATGAGTAAATATATGAACCTTGCCTATTAGTTTGCATCATATGTATAATAACGTTGAGCGAATGGCAGCCAGCGATAGCCAATCAGAAAGACCTTTTTTTTACTGCAGCGTAGGCAAATAAGGCTGAGACTGGGAGCGGATGTAAGCTTAAGTTTTATGTGCCAAATTCATGTTCAGGAGGATATCTAGATATTATAATTTGAGTAAGGAAATCCATTGAAATCTAAAAACTTTTAGGATGCTGCACGCCTCCAGCTGAAAAAATGCCACGTGTCATTCGTTATGACTGCAGATTGTTCTCAAGGCTTGGATTTTTTAAATAAGTTGTTTGAAATTTCTAAATGAAATATAAAAACTCAAAATAGTTCATGAAAGAGGATGGCAACGGATAACGGTACTTGTACTGTACAGTGAATGTACACACTTCAAATTGAAATTGAGGATAATAAAATTAGAGATACCTTCAGCATGTATAAAGAAATGGTTCCGCGGAAGAAAATTTCTGAACTATTTCTGTAATAGTGAGAGATTTCGTCTCTGTAACTTTTTCACCAATAACTGAATTAAGCAACAAGTACCGTTGCGTTTGCTGGTGCCTTCATCTATGTGAAAAGCGATTTAACTCTTAAGCTGCCACCCATACAATGCACCCAGTGCCACAGTGCTAATCCCTATTGTGCCAGCCAGAAATCTCCTGTGTGCCAAGTTAATATAAGGGTTGGTTCAAGTGCGTGTTATTTAAATCTTTTCAAAAAACAAATCGCTAAATTACTCGAGAAAATCCAATCTGACTGTTGTATACAAAGACGCGTAATCCAAAGCCGATAATCTGATGTACGCGATGGTACTTTCAATAGCGCTGCAAAAGCAATCAGCACGGTGCAATGGGCATGAAGAACAATGACTGTTATTACATATGCTTGCTAGCATGCACAAAGCAGAGTAGCGGTGGCTCGCTAGCATGAACGTGGCAGTCAATCGATAGCGCTTGCGTGCACAGAGCACTATAACAATAGCGCGCTAGCAGTCTCATGGCAGGATATGAGTTAATAAGATTAATTAATTTTGTTGTTTGATTTCCATGCTCAGATCAGGACGTTCATACAACACTTCTCCAGATGCAGAATGATTTAGCACGCAATCACCCTGTAAGGTACACAACACCAACCAATGCTGGGCATATTCAAACATCAGGGGCACGACCAGGCAGTCACCAAACACCACTAACAACGAGCATGGTGCATATCAGACCCAGGCAGGATACAACTGCGCCAAGCACCGTCACCCATCAACCACACATGGTACCAGCAGGAGAGCAATCAGGACCACTACAAACTAGCTCAGCACCTAGCCTTGCACCATCTGAACAAGCAGAGGCACCGGTAGAAGCTGCTGATACCACCAGTGAACCGGAGGAAGCCCCTCTGGGTGGCCCTCTACCAGAAGGGCTGGCATACAGGAAGCTCGGGCAGAAAACTGTCTGCGTGGTTGCAGATCGGACACTCCCTGCAGGGGTGCGCTTTGGTCCTTTCAAGGGAGCATTTGGCAAGGGCCCTATTCACTTCAATAACGTCTTGTCTTGGGAGGTAGGTCTTGGTTACCACAAGGGATCTGGGAAGTGCATGCACAGAAGATACTTCATGGTAGTAGTAGTGGTAGTGGTAGTTGTAGGGGTAGTAGTAGTAGTAGTGGTAGAAGTAGTGGTAATGGTAGTACACTGTAGTAGTAGTAGTAGTGGTATTAAAGATAAGGACCAGTTATGGTCATGCGATTGCATTGTGAAAGAAACGTTGTGGAATCGATCAGAAAAGGTTGATCATCTAGCATATAAGTATTGGTGTGTACTGCAAAGTTCTGGAATCATCAAAATGAAAAGAAATTTAGCCCAGTCTTCGTAAAGTTACAAGCACTGTACACAGAAAGATGTATATGGGACTACACACAAGTGCTCAACACGTGCGTTTATCTCTCATAGTCCAATAGATAAACTAATTTACCAAATATATCAATTAGTAGGCGGTTTCCCGGCAAATTTGTTATCATCATGTATTAGTCAAAACATATTTTCACATGATTGGTAATAAGAGCTTCCATTTCATTTTTTGAAATTGGGGCGTTTCCAATACTGGTCTTTACCTTTAATAAAATTGACAGTCATTACATGAAATATCTAACAATTTCTTTTGACCGTTGCCAGACCTCATCTTTCTCTTTATCTCTTGCCTTTCCTTCAGCTGACTCTAGAGGGCAGGGTAGTTGGTTTCCTGAGCCCCGTGAAGGGTGAGAAAGCCTGGACCACCATGGTAAGATCTGCACAGCATCTGAGTGAACTGACTGCCGAGGCTGACCAGTACAACGGCCGTATCTACTTCACTACCATCAAGGAGATTCAACCTGGTCAAGAGTTCAAAGTGTTCTACAGTGAGGAGTACAGGGAGGGCTGTGGCTTCAAGAGTGGTCTGGACAATCTCAAGTATAACCCAGGTAAAAGATAAATATTAACCATCTTTTTTGGGTTATCTAATCCTTTATTGCTGGATGGGTTAAACTGGGCATTGTGGCTCGCACCTGTAATCCAGCTAGCAAGGCAGTTACAAACTGATTCAGCCAAGGACGCAGGTTCGAAACTGAGTCACATCTTTTGGTTGGTGATGTTTAAAGGTCAACCCCAGACATAAATAATCATATCTGATTGATACACATCTGTAAAAACCCAATACACACACACACACACACACACGCCTGTCATGAACAAAAGGCTCTAATGTACAGTAAGTGAACATATACACCATGACAACAAACAAAATACCACTCAAAATTACAAGAAGTTTACTTTTCATGTGATGTCTATTGTCCACTACTTGAAACTGATAACCAATTCAGCAATTCACTAGATTCATTAATATGTAACTTCATAACATTGCATAAGTAGGGCATGATTTTCTCCTCAAACTTCAAGATGTATACATTTTTATAGGACTTGGAAGAATGAAATTGAAGTAGAATGATTTCTTTCTAGTGCCATTTCCATCCCCCAATTTGCCACAGAGTTTTATTTTCTTCTTAGTTTTTTTTGTTTTCTTGGTTCGCTTGCATCAGGCCTTAGCTTCTCTTGGAAACTGTTCAGTTTATCATGATGATGATGCTGATTTTCAGTTTGCTTTCTGTGTGTTACCTATGAAAAAGACAAGTTTTGCAAATGCTTTATTCTTTTCATACATATATATATATATATATATCTTTGTTTTTTGTCCTCTGCTTTTTCTGCATACAGAATCCAAAGGTTTTGAGTGCAGCTTCTGCCCATGCCATTGCAGCAACTCCAAGAGTCTCCTGCGTCACATCAAGCTATTCCACCACAAAGAGAAGCGATCCGACATTGATGTAGAGATACAACAGATCAGAGATGACAAAGAGCCTTCTCAAGAGAGAGATGAAAGAGTTACTTCAGTCTATGAGGGAGAGGGAGATGCCAGAGAAGTCTCTGAGGGTGGAAGATTCACCTGCGGCACTTGTGGAAAGCAGTTCCAGAGCCAAGGACCTCTGATCATGCATGAGAAGTTCCACCAGAATCTGGCCCTCGGAGAAGATGCAGGAGAAGAGGAGGACGATGACCAATCGGATTACTTCCCTTGCCAGAATTGCGGCTTCGTTTGCCCCAACAAGTCGTCCCTAGCGAATCACATACTGGGTCACAAGAAAGCACCCTTTGGATGTAATGAATGTGGGCAGGTCTGCAATTCGCGGAAGGCTTTGACCGGGCACAAGAAGGCGGAGCATGCAGTGGACTCGAAAGGTGCTGGTGGTGAAAAACGGTTGAAGATTAAGTTGCGGGTACGGAGGCACGCTTCTGGTAAGAATTTTTGCAAGACTTGTGGCTACTCCTGTGCAGGTCCGAAGGAGTTTCAGAGCCATATGAAAGGACACAAGCTGTATCCCTTTGGGTGCCCTGAGTGTGGATGTCTTTATGAACAAAAGAACGCTCTTTTGCTTCATCTTAAGGAACGGCACAGTACCTCCAATGGAAAAGGACAACCCGGTCAGACAAAAAGTGACAAACACAAGTGCACCAAGTGTGGGTTTAATTGCTCTGACGAAAACTCTCTCAAAACACATGTCAAGAATCACGATAAAGCTCCATATGGATGTGATGTGTGTGGGCTGATGTACACACAGAAACAATTTGTAATGCGACATAAACGTGTGAAACATGGTGCTGCCTCCCCCGACAAGCCAAGCGCCCTCAACTCTACGCTTTCCCCTTGGACGTGTACAGATTGTAACAAGACTTACGTCAATGAGAAGAGCTTGACGAGACACCAGAAGGAGAAACATGGGAAAGTGTTTGAAGCTCAGTACCAGCTCAGTGGTGCCAAAGGACAAGGGCCTGGTGATTTTGAATGTGATCTTTGTGTACAGAGTTTCACAACACCAACAGCCTTTAATGCACATCTTCAAGAAGTACATGGCATTGAACCACATCCCAGTGACTTGAAGAAGGGAGGAACCAAAAGAAAGGTTGCTGTTCTTCCAACAGGAACCAATGTGGCATCAAAGGATGCACAGAGCAACGTTCTAGGGTCGACTCGATGCTATATCTGCGGTAAGACATTCATCAGATACAGCTTCTTGCATGATCATCTGAGGCAGCATCATGGTATTGAGCCATTGACAAGAGGAGGTACCCAGATACAGGAGACATCGCAGGTAAGCCAGATTGAACAGAATGGAACCAACCCAGCAGAGGACCAGGACAAGGTCGAACAGATCGACATGCTCGGGAAACCCATGGACTATTACAATCGTCCCCGCCCTTTCAAGTGCAAGCTTTGTCCTCGAAGGTTCGTCTATCGCCACGTTCTCAAGCGCCACGAGTACAAGGTCCACCTCGGCGGCAGCAAATTCACCTGCAGCTTCTGTCAGAAAGGCTTTGACATGGAAAGCCAGCTGTTGGTTCATGTCCAGAAGCATACCAAGAACCGACCTTTCAAGTGCGCCCTTTGCACCCGATCCTTTGCCTCTGAAAGCGCACTTGATAACCACCAGAAGGAACACACCGGTGAGAAACCTCACAAGTGTGATGTCTGCGAGCGTGGGTTTGGCACACGTAAGCTCATGAACAAACACAAGTCACGTGTCCACAGCAACAGGGAGAAGAAGTTCATCTGCTCCTTCTGTGGCAAGAAGTTTCTGGCCGGTAAAGATCACAAGGTTCATGAGAGGCGGCACAAGGGTATCCGACCCTTTGTGTGTCTGTCCTGTGGGAAGGCTTTTAAGGACAAACACGCTAGAGATGTTCATATGCGTATCCATACTGGTGAGAAGCCGTACGTTTGTCGACAATGCGGCAAAGCATTTCCCCTACCTCACAGACTCACCGATCATATCGTCATGCACACGAAGGAGAATATGGAACAGGCAGCAGCAATCTCGGCCATTGCAACCAACACACAAACATGAAACAAAGCCATCTGCATGATTTAAGACTTGAACCACAAACCATGTGATCCACATTCCAAAGTCCAGTGATGAATCCACTAGACCACTTCACCTCTTGAAATATCTACAAATACAAAATTTGTTATTGTGGTTTATAATAATATATATTCAGTTCTTGTATAGCGCATAATACGTTATGAAATAACATATCTATGCGCTTCCAAAGGGCTTTGGAAATTATTACCCTAGCTTTAGCTCCGGCAGCCGTAATTGGCGCACAGTGCATTTTAAGGAATAATCCTACCAGGTCCCCATTTACCTCACCTGGGTTGAGTGTGGCAAATGTAGATCAATGTCTTGCCAATTAAAGACATTAGTATTTTTTCTTATGTATGTATTGCCAGTATACATGTAATGGAATTTTGTACATGCGTACATAAAAATACATAAGAACAGTAAGATCATGAGGCGTATAGGAAATACGAGTGGGGAAGATAAATGAGGCATTAAAATTGTTTTTTTTCTCCAGAAAAATATATTTAAATCATGGCAACGTAAAGCTGCCTTTGGAACCGAAGGGGTTTTTAGAAGAAGAAAAAAAAGGTGATAAAACAGTCTCTAAGTCTATTAAAGCCCCACTGTCCTACTTGTAGCTACGTGCTCCCTCTATATAGAAATCTTCCCAATCGGTACCTGTTGGTGCCCCATGATCCTCTTTTTCTTATGTTAGTTGAGAGCTGAGTTAATGAGATAACCACCTGTCAGTGACCTCGCTGTGTGGTCTAATCCCTTCTGGCACAGTAGTATTAAATTGATTTGTGTGTACATACATGTATAAACGTGAAAGTAATGGTTGTAATGCCAATGATTTTGTACATGTTAAATACTCAGTTTATACCAGCCTGTGAATCAATTATCATAATGATAACGATAATAGTGATAGTAGTAATAATAATAGGATAAGGAAAGGAGAAAAAGAAGCCAAAGTGAAAGAAGAAGAAGAAGAAGAAATAGAAAAAGAAAAAGAAGAAATATGAAGCAGGAGGAAGTGGGGGAGGAAGAGGAGAGGAAGGAGGGGGAGGAAAAGGAAGAAGTGGGAGGAGGACAATAAGAGGGAGGAGAAGAAGAGAGGAAGAAGAATTGGATTTACACATGTATAGCACCTTTTCTAGAGGATACCTTATACATTGTATTACATGTAGTTTTAAAAGGAGTAGTACTTGTTATAGTTACCGGTATACATCATTTGATGTGGCTTTTTTTTCTTCATTTCATTACTATACGGCTCGATACTGTTCTGCATTCTACTTTGCCAATACATGTATGTTTCCTACAAATATTTGTGGATATGATAATTATAATGATAGTGGGTTCTTGTATAGCGCTCATGTCTCTTAAACTTGGCGCTCCACCATTATTACTCTGGCTGTAGCATGGCTGACATTATGGCAATCTAGCATTTCGTGGGTCGAGTGTGGCAAATGTAGATTGCTGTCTCGCCATAATACATTGGTGCCGATGCGGGACTCGAAGTGCGAATCATTTGATCAACAGTCCGGTGATATATCCACTAGACTAAAACTTGTCCATGATGATACAAACCGTATGTCCAAACTAAGTAACAACTCATCTCCCGAATGGTTACGACTGTAATAGAAATATTCAATATTCAAAATACATGTATGTTGTCTGTGAGCAGAAATATGTGTTGCCAACACAATGTACAGTGGAAACTCATCATAACGAGGTCCTTAGGACACCGGCATTTACCTTGTTATATCAGGGTAAAACACAAAAGAATATAAAGAGCTTAGACCAGCAAAATCACCTTGTTATAACAGATACCTTGTTATATCGGAGCTCTTTATAATGAGGTTCCACTGTACTTGTACTCGGTCTTATAATTGAACTTCACACCTTTGTTAGCCTCTATCTGAATGAAGAATTTTGTTAATTTTCTAAAGACAGCTCATGATTTGTAGTTTGCTTCAAGTTACTTTGTTTTTCTTTTTATGCTTACATTGCACTGTACTAGAAATAAAAATACATGTATTGATGAAATTACATGTATAATAACAAGAAAGTTTGAACCATGTACGTTTGTTTTGTTTACCTTTCATTAGGACTTGATCAATAAATATAATTCTCGAGGACAAACATCTAAGTATAAATTCTGTAGAAGATTGTAGAACTTTTGTAACAAAGCCCTTGTGAGTAAATGGGGCTGTAGTAAAGATGGAAGAACTGCACACAGCAACTGTGTGGAGCTCAGATGGCAAAGAGTGTCTACATGTGGGTGTGTTGCATCAGTGCTCAGGGAACTAAATACCAGCATTAGTTTGCTTAAATAAGTTAAAATTTGAGAGGATCAAGACAGAAACAATCAAGACACTCTTCATACAGTTGTAATAATCTATACGATGGCTTCTTTATTACATGAATACAATCAACGTATGTAACTGTACATGTCCAAAAAAACTCATTTGGCATTTGGCCTACATGTAATGGGCTATTTAAAATTCCATTATAGCATTACATGTATTAAATATAAATGAAAGATACAAAGAACTAACACATTTTCACTAGTCTTTGTACAATATCAATGCAGTCGAGGGGGCATCTAATAATGTATCTAAGGATTGGTGTTATAAGAAAGAAATGTGAAACGTATTTAATACACTTTACATAGTCGTCAAAAAAACCTCTGCTGCTTTCACACATATCTGAACTAGCTTTTAGCCTGGGTTGCAATTAAATTTAAGGGTAAGTTTAGTGTTGGGGCTAAGGATAGAGATCAATCCAACCCTTTTAATAAGTTCATTTGTATGAAAGCAGATAAACAAGATGAACAGAATGGCAAAAGTTTGAAATAAATCGGACCAATAATATGAGAGTTATGAATGTTTCAAATAGGAGATCACCAAGTCTATGTAAATCTCGGGTTGGCAGTTTGGTCAGTGGATCGTGAGTACATATTTGCAGATAAATCCTGTTTGTTTTGTAAAATAATCTCATTGATATCTGTTTTTCTCCTCTGTTTTCTCCTTTGGGGCCCTACACATTATATTATTATGGATAGCATATTATTAAAGGGCCTCTAAAGAGAATAGATCATATTGATTCATAACTTTTTTGAAAAATTGAAATTTAGTCATTTTGTGCACATGAACAAATGGGAAAGTTGTCCGCCACTACATAACAGAGACATTAACTATTCAACTAATTCGAAGAGCCCATACCTATAGTGATTTCACCTTTTCAAAATGTATAACTTTCTCAATTTGTTTCTCTGATGTTTCTGCATTCCTCTTGACTAGTTTACTCATACATTTGGATTTCCCTTTACTATATATGCTGTTTGGTCCAGGGTGAACGTTGAGAATATGATTAGTGCAGTAGATATTGGAGCTTATGTCATGCGATCATTTACATAATAAAATGGCAGGAAGAAGGCAATGTATAGAGATGTATATGAGATACATTGTCATCAAGAGTTGGTATAAAGAAAACAAAATGTCCATGTTTACAATCCTAGCAAGCATTCAAATGGTTCTATCCAAACTGAATCGTGAATGGAGTAAAAAAACAAACGGGAGTTATTTAACTGAACATAATGCCAAGATTACAAAGTGAATTCAAAAGTCAAGTTCTGCTATATTGGAGAAACAAGTTTTATGATATGATACAAGTACCAGGAGGTGTTTCACAAAACTTGTCATCGGTGACAAATGACAATTTTTGTTATAAGCTAGTGAATCCTTGCTTCTGATTGGTTATCAGCAGATTTGTCACTGATTTTGTTGTCATTTGTCATTGAAAAAAGCTTTGTAAAACAACCCCCAGGAGATTCTAAATTCTATACATTTTCATAAAACAACAAATAGAATAAATGTAAATACAGAGGAAATGGGGCTTCTAGAGGCAGTCAATATAAGAAAACCTTTTATAAAGTCATTAAAAATCTAAACAAAAAATACAAATATTTCATGATTGGTCAATAAATAAATACATGTAGATGGCACAGAAGTTCATATAGAACTACATGCACTTCACTGTGGGGTGGATGTCGCCATCACACTTATTTATAATGTACACTGTAGTTTGTTGGCAAGGGAGAAAAGGTTATCAAGTTTTGAAAAATGCAGAAAATGGCATTTTGGGGTGTCACGGTCACCCCCAAAAGGTGGCCAAACATTTTGCTCTTGCACCGGTTGCTCTGGACTTTATTTTCATCAGAGATATAGGCCCGAATTCACAAAGGAGGTTTGTCGACAAACCTTGGTTTTTGTACGTCATATGACACGTTTTTTACAAACCTCATTTGTAAAGAACAAAAGGAGGTGAATTCGGGCCATAAGGTTAGGTTAAGGGTTAATAGAATACCTTCTATCATTTATCCTCTAATGAGCTAATCAAATAGTTAACAACTGGAGATGACATGGTAATTCTGACAATATCCATACTTATTGGGGACTTGATCCCCTATAATATATAATAGCAGTCACTGGGAAGTGTCGATTACAAGAATAACTCTTGAGATAATAATTAAAACAATTCCTTTTTTATCAAACAATGGCAAGAAGGGCAAATTGGCATGAAATGAAGAGATATGAACCAACAATACTGGAGAAAAGGATGGACTTTAAAAATACACACATTATATGCTTTGGTCATATGATTCGCTGGCAAGCTAAAAACATCTAAGGAGCTAGGTCAGATCGATGCTTGTATCTATGAGACGCTTGTTTTTATTATACATACTAAACTAATGTGGCATTAAGCAAAAAAAACTTGTTGGCAAATGATCAAAAGCTTTATTATTTCATATATGAACCATAGCTATTCAAAACCGACATATTTTTTTAAATAAGACACCAGTTATCGGTCCTCAACAGAAGGAAATGTTACACTTTAATTTGAATTTTCAAGCATATATTAATGATGATCTACTAGGTGGTTTCTGGGTGTACAGTAAATAGCATGCGACTGCTAATGGCCAAGGTTTACATAAAAAGACACAGGAAAACCAGACACATCCAACCTATTTGACAAAAATAAGCAACCGTCATCTTAAAATTAACAGTCATTTTTGAGAATACACTTTATATCAGGCAGAAATTTTGACAATAAGATATAATGAGGATTAACTCCATTGTTTACATGATATGAAGAAATCAATTCTTAACATTTCTGTGTGCTTTTAAGAGTAAGACATGAAATTGTTCACTTTGACAGTTGCTTACTTTTGCCACAGTAGGGGCAGGCTCACTTTGGCTTGCCCGGTAGACAGATGTTGTAGAAACCTTACTAATCTCAGGCATAATCATTTTTCATCGGTAACCGTAGCAGGTTCGATGCATGGCTCCACCTCCACCTGTTCTTCTTCTGAAGGGCCACCTGCTGCTGCCTTGGAGTTGCGTAAGTCATGACGTATCATATGGGTAGACAGATGGTGACTCAGGGCAAAGGTCTGCTTACACACTCTGCATTCAAACGGCCTCTCCCCAGTATGTACGTGCATGTGAGACTGCAGGGAGTACTTGGTCCCAAAGGCACGTCCGCAGGTCAGGCACACATGGGGCCGGATCCCCTTGTGGCACTTCTCGTGTCGCGACAGTGCCGTCTTGTGCTTAAACGTCTTGTCACAGAAGCTGCAGTTCAGGAATACAGTCGGTGCCATGTGCATGCGTCGTTTGTGGGTCGTCATGTACTTTCGTGTTCGGAATCCCTTGCCGCAGAAGTCGCACTGGTAGGGCCGTTCACCCCGGTGTTCTGGAAGGTGGTTCTTGAGCGCATTCTCCGAAGAGAAGGAGCGTGGGCACTCCTCGCACTTGAAGGGCCGTTCCAACGTGTGTTTCCGCCTGTGCACGATAAACCTGGTCTTTTCATTGAATGTCAGTGGACAGAACTCACATTTGTATCGACCACTATTCGTATGCACAGTCATTTCGTGCTTGTACACTTGGTTGTGAGCGGAGAACTTCTTTGGGCAGTACTTACATTTGAAGACCTTTGGTTTCTTGCTGGTGATAAGTATTCGCTTTCCAAGCATGTCCTTTGGTAATTCAGGATGGAAGGGTTCAGGTTTATCAGGTTCTGCTTCAGGTCCGACGTACCTCGTCATCTGATCCTCAATGCTACCTCTCATCCAACGTGTCCCAACAAAGATCTTATGATCGTGCCGTAGGTGGAACACGAAGCACCCCTTCCGCTTGAAGAACTTGCTGCACTTAGGGCACTGGAATGAAGAGGAATCGTGAGAGAGCATGTGTTGCTTGAGCGCCCTACGATGCTTACATTCTAAACCACAAACCTCACAGATGGGTTTGATGTCTTTGGTCTCTTGGTGGAATGCAGAATGTTCCCTGAGGCGTCCTTCTGAAGGGAACAGCTTCCTGCATTTCTTACAGGAAAATCTCTTCACAGTATCTCTCTTTTTACTCTGATTGGCCGGATTTTTACTAGCAATGGCTCGTTTCCCTGCTTTCTTCAATGGGACAAGTTTCACTTCCAAGAACTTCTTGCTCTTCTCTTCTTTAACCTTTTTCTTTTGTGTGTCCACCTCAGCAACAGGTTTCTCTTTCGGTACCTTCTGAGCTGTTGTCCTCTTCTTGCGGAATGAACTGATCTGCTCCAGCCTTGGCGAGGTGAAAATTTGTGATTGAACATCAAGCTTGGAGTCAGGATTGCGTTGGTTCTCCTTGTCATGTTCAAACTTGAGATGTCTTAAGAGGCTCTTGGCGTTGGTGTAACGGCACTTACAGTCCTGACACTCAAACCGCTGGGTATCTGTGGGCACAGAAGGTAGGAATGGTAGGGTAAGAAAATGCAGTCAAATGGAATGAGGACAGTAGCAAGAAATAATTAGATAGCTGAAGTAGGGAAATATAGTGGCTCATGAAGCTGAAGATATTCAGCAAAAGACTGCATGTGTCCTATTAACACTTCTCTTCCGCTATCTCAAACCTCTCTTTAATATCAGGAAAGGCATGTTTCTAGTTGGAATCATGACTCCTTGCAAGTGCCAGGGGTGATAGTGAGCACTAATAAAAAAGTTTTTCTTTTTCCCCCGACCACCGTCCCCTTGTGTAAAAAAAAAAAAAATGGCATCTAAGAACATTCCCCCCTTTTGAGTCAGAAAATTGGGAAAAAATTGGGAAAATAGGGGTAAACTCAGTGAGAAAAAAATTAATTGGGAAACCGATTTAAATTGGGTAATTATCAGGACTTAAGTGCCCACACTGGCCTGGTCAATCCTAGACAGATAAAAGATGATTGTAAATTGGCTAGATGTCAGCATTTTCAAGCAGCCTTGAGGTGTTCCTCTTCTTGTTTTTTGTTAATTGAATTAATTTTGCATATCAACATTAGATTTTTTAAATGAATGAATTGAATTGAATTGAATTGAATTTATTTATTCACCACCATTGAAAACATTGAAACAAAAGATAAATGTACAATGACAATGTCAATATAACATAAATGCATGACATGAATTATAAAAAAATACATGTTCTACAGCAATATACATGTACATTATGACAAAGATAAAGTAAACTTTGCTTCAAGAGTAAAACAATAAATGACTATTTACAATGAGTTTGTGATCGATGGTAAAATAGAGTCAAAAATAGCACATGTGCTAGTCGAGTCTGACTCTCGTTATCTAAAGCCTAAAATAAAGTTAATTAAAAAATATATGATGGGTTTCCAAATCTTATAAATAATTTTGTGTATAATATTAAAATGAGGTTACTATATACAACTATATAGTTACGAGGTTATTATTCGTGGTTTTCACTTAAGAGTAATTTTGTAAGTTTTTTACGAAAAGAGGTTCTTGATCTCTCAATTCTTAGATCAGTAGGAAGCATATTCCAAAAATTACTTCCAACAAACGAAACAGAAAACTTTCCTTGGTCTGTTTTGAATAAAGGAAGACGTAATTGTCGACCCGTTTTTTGTCTTGTGGAATATTCATGTTGTATCATACTGCAATAATGTTTTAAGGAATGAGGTAATCGTTCATTTATCAAATCAAACACAAAAGTACAAATAGATAATTTATGCAATTTAAAAACATTCAACAATTTGAGGTCATGAAAGAGTGCATTAGTATGAGAACGATGTGGCTTGAAAGTTATAGCACGTACAGCCATCTTTTGAGTATAAAATATACAATTCAAGTGTGATTTATAAGTACTACCCCAAACCTCGATGCCATATGTAATATGTGGCTGTATAAGAGCTTTATACAACAGTATCAATATATGTTTAGGGACAAAGTGCCGTAATTTAAAGAGGATGCCGACCTTTCTCCGTATACAGTCATTAACAGATTTTATATGTGAATTCCATGTAAAATGTCTGTCAATGGTAATGCCAACAAATGTCGCTTCCTCCACTTCTCTTAATTCTGCCCCAGATATTTTTAATCTCCCTTTAAGCACAGCCTTTCTTCTACGACTACTGAAGAACATGAAATTGGTTTTTGACGCATTGATAGTAAGCTTATTTGCAGTGCACCAATTCTGTATGGATTTTAAATTTTCATTTACTTCACACTCATCTATTTGATCTACACCTTTGGGAAAAGTATGAAAAATATTAGAATCATCTGCAAATAGTCTGAAATTGAAATAATTTGTCACAGTTGGCAAGTCATTTATATAGATTAAAAACAGAGTTGGTCCTAAGACAGAACCTTGTGGTACACCGCATTTGATATATCTACTTTCTGATGATGACTCTTTGTATTTCACAAACTGCATTCTGTCACTAAGATAGCTTTCGAGCCATTTCAGTGCATGTCCTCGGATGCCATAATGTGATAGCTTTTTAAATAATATGTTATGGTTTATTGTGTCAAAAGCCTTTTGAAAGTCAAGAAACACACCAAGCGTAAAACATCCTTCGTCTATACTTTTCAATACCGTATTCATAAGATTAATTAATGATAATTTAGTACTATACTTTTTCCTAAATCCGTACTGATGGTGATATAAAATGTCATGCGTTTCTAGAAAACTGGTCAATCGAGCATTAACTATTTTTTCTAATACTTTACCCAAAATTGGTAAGACAGAAATGGGTCTATAATTCCCCGTTTCATGTTTATTACCTTTCTTAAACAGTGGACTGACTTTAGCAATTTTCATTTGATCAGGGAAATTTCCTGTTTCCAATGAAAGATTGAAGATATGTCTTAATGGTTCAGCCAAAATAGATGCACCATCCTTAATCAGGCGTACTGGAATGTTGTCGTAACCACAAGCTTTCTTCTCGTCTAGAGCCAACATGTGGTCATGAACTTCCTTCATTGTGACCGGTTTCCAAAAAAGGGATTGCTCAACACTATTACTCAAATAATCTTCAAATAATGTGGGTACATTTGGTATTGCTGATGCTAGATTTGGACCGATGTTTACAAAGAAATCATTAAATTCATTGGCAATTTCAGATTCGGTTGTTAGAACTTTATCATTTCCATTAATACGCCTTATAAGTTTTTCTACCTTAGTACCTTTGTTACCTTTATTTCTCCCTGATATTAATTCATTTATGATGTTCCACGTTTTACTAGTGTTATTGCTGTTCTCAGCTAGCAAACTACTGTAATAATTTCTCTTGGCATTGCGAAGAACAGTCGTTAATACATTTCTGTAGTTCCGAAATTTTTGTACATCACTTACATCAAAATTAGATTTCCTTACTTTTAAAAACAATTTATATTTTTTTCGAACAGACTTCATTATTGATTTGGTTATCCAAGGTTTCTTATAAGCGCGTCCTTTGCAGCTTCTTTTCTCTTTGATTGGTGCATGTTTATTACAAACATTATTAAACAAATTAAGAAAAATGGAATATGCCATGTTAACATCTTCACAGCTATTGATATGTTGCCATTCTTGCCCAGCAAGGTCATCTTTAAAGTTTTGTACATCATAGTTTTTATAACATCTGTAAGTTACAGTTTGTGGATAATGCAGCTGCTTCAAATTACATGGATTTTCTAAAATCATGAACACAGGGTAGTGATCAGAAATATCACATTCTATAACACCCGAGTGATTATCATACTTGTTCATATTAGTGTATATATGGTCTAATAAGGTTACAGACTCACTGGTTACTCTTGTTGGATATTTTATTTTCTGCTCCATTCCTACGCATTTCATCGCTGTTGAAAACCCTTCTGTTGTTCCGTCTGAACTTAATGAATTTATATTAAAATCTCCTATTATAATGGTATTGCGTCTGTCGACTTTTATGTCTTCTAAAACTGTGAGAAGACTTTCTTGAAACTCTTTAACATCTGTATTTGGTTTCCTATATAAAACACCTACCATCACCTTTTGAAATTCTCCATTGTTTATTTCAAACCAGATTGATTCTGTATGCTTCACTGTATAATCTTTCACGACATATTTCAAATTAGAACGAATATAAGCTCCTACCCCTCCTCCTCTTTCTCTACCATCCCGGCACTTTACCTCCAATAAATAACCTTCCATTTCCAAGGTCGATTTTTCTAAAACTCTCCATACTTCTGATAATGCAATTACATCGAATCTGAACTTAACGCAATCTTCATATAACAACTTTAAGGAATCAACATTTTTGTTTAGCGAACGTACATTTACATGGGAGATACTAATTGATTTTTTACCGTCAAGTGGCAATGTACTATCAAATGAATTTGGACATAACTTGTAAGAATGTGATACAGTGTTATCAAACATATTATTAGAATATTTGTATCATGAAAGAACCACTATATGGCACTTAGGTGTACCTCATTCAACAAAATACAAAAAACAAAGGGTACTTTCTGTATTTTTGTTTACTAAAAATCTTCAGGCAGTGCAGAATTATTTCGTTTTAGTTGTTATTGTTATGTACATTTGGGTATGTAGTCATTTCACGAAGACATCTTCAGAAATTATGATTGTCATTGATTATTAAAGCACAAATAATTGTTGCAATGTCCACACAACAGCTATTACCTTATACAGTATGCTTGCGGTTGCACCATGTAAGAGAGAGGGGAGGATTAGGGAGTCCTGAAAAGGACTCTCTGTAATCTTTCTTTCTTGAATGCGTGTAGTCCTGAAAAGGACTGTCGGTTATCTTTCTTAGCTTATAGTTTTAAGGAGAACTATAGCGCCGGTTGGAGAGGATGGGTGATAGGAGTGGCGCAACGTTTCGAACAGTTTGACTATCCGTCAGGACTCCCAAATCCTCCCCCTCTCTCAGATGGTGAAACCGCAAGCATACTGTATATCTACATCACCACGCAAGCCGATACTTATAAGCAGCATCTAGCTATTACCTTGATGCACATGGAGTTCATCCAGACTGGCTTTGAATCCAACCCTCATCCTGTACTCTTGACTGTAGAAGACTCTCAGCTCTGCTCCTGGCTTGACGGGTTTGGTGATGCGGAAGTAGATATCCCCATAGAACTGGAAAGCCTCCATGTTCTGTTCCTGGATGTTCCTGGCATACTGGACATGGTGCATCCAGTTATTAGGGTCCGTGGAACCATCAAGGTAGAACCATGTCCTGCCTCGAACACAGACCTGTAGGGTGGAGGAACAAAGGATAATCCTTCATTGAAGTACAGTGAACTTGCCTTTTGACATTCAATTCAAGTTCAATTTATTTTCCATCTTTAAAAAACAACAAATATAACTTAATATTAACACATTGCATTAAAAACATATTTATACATAAAAATGGAGGGTTATCCTTAATAAGCAAGCTGCCTGTAGGCAGGGCCCTGGTATACAATATAAAATGTACAACTTTGTTAGAGAAATTCCTTAACATTTGAGAGAATTATAAAACAAGGAAGGAACAACTCAGTCAGGATGATGTGTTTCATAATATGCTGCTTTTAATGTATTTGTTAAACACTAGAGACCAATCTTGCTGGATGTTTTTGTGATAGACATGGCACTTCCTTAAATATTATGATTCTAAAAAACTACATAACATTTTTTTAGTAAAGCCAGCAGTTTGCCCTTCAGAATTGTTGGTATAGAAGTCTTCATGTGGCCTGGTGAGATCTAAATCCATTATAAACCACAGAGTATGGCCGTCTTCACCAGCCCTATTCACTCCCCCCACCCCCTCCCTCCTGCATGCTTCGTCCCATTTCATATACAGTCAAACCTGCTTTAGTGACCACCTGTCTACAAAGACCACATTTTTTGTTTCCCTTGAAAATGGTTTCTAATTGAAACATGTACTAAAGAAACCTGTCTACAAAGACCACTTTTTGTGTTTCCCTTGGGCGGTCGCTGTAGACGGGTTTAACTGTAGTACTGCAACAAGTGGATGGAGCAGAAGATACTACTGAATCCAAGACTTACCTCCCATGTTGATGGGTTGTAACATCCCAATCCTTCTCTCACAAACTCTCCCGTGTATGGCCCAAACTCTCCTCCTTCTTCCAAGTCCTCTGTAGAGATCACGCCGCAGATCTTACTGTCCTCGTCCGACGTCTCGATAAACGCCAAACCCGAAGGAAGACTGGATGGCTCTGCCCTTGTGGAATCCGGCTTCCAGGTCTCGTCAAACAAAGGTTCCGTCTGGCAGCACTTGGTGAATGTTGGGGCGTATTCCTTTGGTCTTTGGTATTGGACCTGGGGTTCAACTATCTGAACCATTGGCTGTGGATGAGTGTCCCTCTTTACCCTGGTTCGAGGAGGACCCTTCTTCTTGCTGCTAACGCTCGTTAGTTGCACAGAGTTCATGTTGCTTGTGGCAGGGTTGCGGTGAGGCGGTGTTGCACGGATGGTGCTCTGGGTTGTAGCAATACTGTTGTGTGTTGAGTTGGAGAGGTCTTCAATGTGGTAGCTAGGGTCTGGTGTAGAGTTAAGAGTTGAGAGTTGTTGTAGAGGTGGTGGAGTTGCTATGGTGGTGGAGAGTGATGTTGGAACCTGTTGGAGTTGTACAGCGTTGTTGGATAATTCTGCTCTATAGTGAAGCGGTGTGGTGTTCACTGGAAGCGTAAACAAAAGAATGAATTACTACATGTACCTCTACATCCTACAATAAAAAAAATTAAAGAAACTGGTCGAAATCTTACAATTTGGATAAAAGTTGTATGCCTTTATCAGGTAAAATTGTAATACATCCAGAGTCAAGACTTTCATTGATAGAATGCCCGTTTCAAGGACAAAGCATTAGATGTATTAATGGCAACCCCCATCTGGAAACTGCATGTCAAAACAGAAAAAACATGAAATTCTTCATAAGCCTAATGTTAGGTGTGCTTCATGCATTGAGTAACACAGCCTCAAAGTAATCATATAACAGCGCAATATCAAAAGGAGAAACAAGTTATTCTCTTTAATAACCAAATATCACAATAGAACTTCTATTTAGATTACTTTTATTCCTTATGTTTATCAAACAAACACCAATTATATTGTATCTGTGCTGAGATATGTTGCTTGTTGAAAACATCTCTAGTACATGAATAAATACTAAGCTAAGACTGAATCCATGGCCATGTAATTAAGTAACTCTTTCACAGCTTTCTTCGACTAATAGAACGCAAACAGTGGGCTACCACAGTAGACTTTTGTCACACATACAGCGTACATGCCCCATATAATCCTATGGAAAAAAGTGATATCGGGTTTGACCCAATGCAAAAGACAGATGCCTGTATTTGTTGTTTGTTTGTTGTTGTTTGTTTGATTGTTTAACCTGTCTGCTAAGAAAGCATGGTACCGATGACTTTAAGTCCTTTCCGAGGGACTTGGTAGTGAAGATTTATGCCTTATCAAAGGGCGCTAGCGTATTGACATCGAGCTGGGACCTCCCGGGTATGAGACCACTGCTCTACCACTGAGCCATCAGGGGGGTGTTTCACAAAGACTAAGATCGACTTTAAGATGGACTTAACTATGGCAAGCCATTCATGCCACTGGTTGCTCTCACCATTGGTCTCTCAATCATGATCTTTAGATCTTTTTCCTTTAACAATGAACTGTCAAAAAAGGTAAATTCGTTTGTGACCACAATTTGTAAATCACTTGAGAAACCAATGCCAGGAATTGTTAGAGGAACTAATGGCATGAACGGCCTGCCATAGTTAAGTCTAACTTAAACTCAATCTTAGTCTTTATGAAACACCCCCCTGGCCTCCTTGCTATTTCCTAAAATAATTACCTTGCATAGCTGCTGTTGGGGCATGTTCAAACTCATACCCTCTCTGCCCAGGACTCTCCCTGCTCGTGATGCTCGGAGACCCTGAGGTGAGGGGTGGCCTGGCAGGGTGCAGCCCATCCGGACCTGGTCCCGGACCCGGTCCCTGACCTGGGATGGTGCCTGCTACAGAACCAGGAGCTTGCAGGGGGTTGAGGTATGGAGCAAACCTATACACAAAAGAGAGATGGAAAGAGAGAGAGAAATAAAATTAAATAATGTCATAATCTGGTATTCTGGAATGAATTTGGCATCACTGCAAATATCATAATTTCAGCTGTGTGACCAATGAGCAATTTGATGCTAGAATCCATTCAAAAGTTTCCAGGGGTACCTTGTTTGTGCTGAAGGGTACTACTCACTGGTGCTGGTGCAGTGAAACCTCAGTATAAAGAGCTCCAATATGACAAGGTATCTGTTGTAACAAGGTGATTTTGCTGACCCCAGCCCTTTATATTCTTTGTTTTTTTACCCTGATATAACAAGGTTATTTCCATGGTCCTAAGGACCTTGTTATAACAAGTTTCCACTGTAATGTATACTAACCTGAGTCCCGGGTACCCTGCCTGTATAGCATGGTGTGTTGGAGGGTACTGCTGGTGCTGATAATGTAAAGGATGTTGGTTCTGAGGGTGTCCTTGGCCAGGTTCTGGGTTTGAGCGTGTCTCTTGCCGGTCATGAAGATAATTGTACTCCATGGTCCCAATTCAGTTCCTCGATTTTCTGTACATTTCTGAAAAGAAAGAAGACAAAAATATCAATATCAATGATGATGATGATGATGATGATGATGATGATGCTAATAATAATAATGCTTATATGATATTGGGATGCCAAGGATGGTATTGCAGTATATATTTCATAATTAACATAGAGAGTAGTACAACATTTATAGGTCTTTTATCAAGATATAATTAGAAATGAGTAGCATTACAAATTACAAGCTATGGAAAGGAGTGAAAAATTGGAAAAGATTTTACCACAAATTGTTTCTATTCAAAGTATTTCTTTGGCATGTTGAATTTTTGAAGTTTGAAGTTTTATTTATTCCACATTTTACATAGAAAAACAGTTTATATTATTTTCTTTTTTATACAGGCGCATATTATTATAAGAATAGATTTCACACAAGAAAAAAAAATTAAAGATTTCAAATCAAATATAATGTACGGAAAATAAGTACTAAATTTTGAAATATGTATATATAACAGGCTCGGTAGAACAATGTAAAATGTGGGGAGCCTAAATACAAAGCATAGCTTGTATGTGAATAGGCTCCCGAAGTGAGCAACACAATATAGTAGGTCTGGATTTAAAAGGTATTATAGGAGGCAAAAACGGAGTAGTATAGTATGAGATTCTAGAGATGTACAAGGAGAGTGAATTTGAGAAGAAAAGAAAAATAGAAATAAAAAGAGAATAATATAATAGTTATAAGTAAGAAAAGGTGAAGAAGGGAAGAAAGAGGAAGAAGACGAAGACGAAAAAGAAGTGGAAGAAGAAGAGGCAGAACTTAAAAAGAGAAAGCAAATTGATGAATCTCGTCAGCATCTAAAATTCTAAAGGCCTTGTTCCAACATGAAACATGCTGTTAATGTTATTTATCCTAAAAGATCATTGCTGTGGCAAATGAAATAGCATAGTAGTAGTAGCATACATGCCAACATTTGAAAATCAGAAATCCGTACAAATTATGCTATTTAAAAAAAAAGAGGAACAATCCTAACTCTCCTATTCAATACTACAGACAAATTTGTACAGGAAGAGGAACACCTGCATTAAAATGATAATTACATGTATCTTCTCCCAAAAAGAGGAATGTTCCTCTTTAATCTGAACAGTTGGCATGTATGGTAGTAGTAGACTTTATTGGATAACTTGTTTAGCACAGGGCTAATCTGCCACAAGGTCTATAAACATAAACATAGTGCATCTCACATTACATGTACATGTGTAAGGGTTACACTCTGGTATTAGTTACAATTACTATTTGTTTCTCTGATCTCTTCTCTCTATACATATTCATTTCACATCATTTGCTTATATCACTTACATACATGTATATATTCATTTACTCAATTACTCAACTTAATGCCTTCCTCCATTCATCTCCTCTACATACCAAGTCTTCCATCTCACCTGGTATGTTTCTTTGTTCTCTTCTCATTCTTTATTCATGAATCTTGTGTGAATGCTTTAGGTTTTCCACTTCTTACTCATCATTACAGGTTACCTTCTCCTTTTCCGTTTTGAATATTCAGTCTAACTCCCAAATCCTATTTAGCTATTGGTGTATGATGTACACGTATTTCATTTGAATACGTTGCTTAAAACATACAGCATGAGGCTGCATAGGAGGCTATAATAAAAGACAGACAGACCTGCACTGGACATGATCTGAGTCAGTCGTATTGATTTAGGGCTCTCTACTTTTATGTTGGAGATTTTTAGGAGAAAGGGTAAAGTGAGTTTGGCAGTGGTTTTTGGATGATTGGTGTTAGAGATATATTGAGGAGAGGTTTATTTTATTAGTTTACTCATGCATTGATCATCAAATCTGATTATAAACATATAATTCAAAATTTTATTTGAACATGGTTGCCTCTTTAGTTAACAAACTGCCATCAATATCCCTGAGGGCCCTGCATGATAAAAAAGGTACAGTGTAGGTCTATAAAAAATAGCCCACTACTCGATTATCGCCAAGTAAAACATTTAACACATAAATAACATAAGATGATACATTTAAAGTGTTGGTAGTGAGTAGATCTACATGTAGATTCTTTTCTAATATAATGAGAGCATTTGGCTTTCTTATATATGAGCAGATGCTTAAACTTCCTCTGAAAATGCTGAATATGCACAAGGTTGTGAAGGGCCAAGGGACCTTCGAGTCATGCATATTCAGCATTTTCAAGCAATCGGTGCTCTATTGCATGAATATTCATATATTTGCTGCACCGCTACTGCGCGTGCATACTTTCTCTTCGCCATGTTGATGATACATACGGATGGCTTGGTTTAGGATGAGGAATCACCCCTTTTCCCATCGAAGACTTCTTCAAAATCAAATTATAATTTCAAGTGTGGTGCGACATGCCCAGAGGAGTCAAAAACACTTAAGCCAGCATTTGTAATTACTATCGTTACTTACACACTTCGGTAAAAATGTCGCCACAACCGCTGTTTGATTTTTGTTTCAGATGTCACACTGAAGCTCCGACGGCGACGCCTTTGCCTTTGGTGTTGGCGTCGCGTCGGAGCTTCCGGAGTTAGATCCGAGCTAACTCGGACCCGGGAACAACTCGGGCCACTGCAAAAACTGTCATGTTTTAGTAATTTGACCCTAACCCTTACCCTAAGGCAATAAACCTGCAAAAAATTACCATTTTGCAGCGGGGCCCCCGAGTTGTACCCGGGTCAGATCTTAGCCCGACTGCAGCACAGACAAGGCTGCGAAGGCAGGGACACTTCAGACCAGTAAACATGCAGAGTTGACACTGTCACCACAGGCGATGGGCATCATTTTAACAGGAGCTTAGGCTATCCCATGGGCTGAATATGCCAAAATGGTCTCGCCAGCGCCAAAACGAAATCGGGACAATGTCAATGACCGTCGATATATCGTGCTTACCTATGGGCTAGGCCTGGCTGGCTAGCTGCACTACCACGGCCACGACAACGACGTCAACAAGACAGTCATTGTCCCGATTTCGTTTTGGCGAGACCGACACGATTTGAGCCTTACAAAATAACAAACAATGACAAATAATAATACCTCAACCTATACTTGTTCTGAAAACATTTTAAATTTCATACGAATTCATATTGAACAGTTTAAAAACAGTTTATCACTCACATTCAGCTTCACTTCGCGGCTTAGCCCCCGGATTGTAACAGCGAAAATCGTCTGTGCTGTTGAAAATCATGCCAATTTTGCTTGTAGTGAAATTGCGTCCGGTTTCGAATCTGGCTCCGCGCTAAAAAAACTCTGGTGTAAAATGAATAGATGAAGGTCATTCTCTTGCTCATTATCTGTTCATGGAACTTGGCCTTTTCTTTCCTACAAATACTTGTTTTTAGGCGACTGCTGTGTTTGTCTTGCATAGTTACATACAGAAAAACAAATTTTTGTCATTGTTTAAATCGTTTTAAATATCTTGATTTAGCAGAGTTTGTCACTTGCAATTAAGACGTTGTCTGAATCACACCGACCAGGTATTAGATTTCCTTTCCATTCTCAAAACAAATTCTCACCCCTCCTCCTTCTACTTTTTGGGGCACCTACTTTTTGGCACCCTCCTTTTTCCAATTCATTGTTAATTTATTTTTATTTTGTTTCTCTTTATAGGGGGGGGGGGGGGGGGGGCTTCTAGCCTGTTTTGATTGCGTAATTTGTAGCCTACAGTGTATATACACAATTTTAATGAGAACCAATTATTTGGGCCTCAAGTGCACATTCTAATGAAATTAGATCAAGAAAGTTTGTAATGACACAATGACATCACATTTTATGTTGACAAGAAATGAAATGAAAGATAACAGGCTGCTTACATATATATATGTTTAATTTGTATGGGATCGAATTCCCCCTCCATCCCCCCCCCCCCCCCCACCTAATTATTCCACTCTCTCCCTTTCTCTTCTTCCTCTCTCCTCTCTCCCTTCCTCTCTCAATCTGTCTTTCTCTAAGTAAGTCTCTCTGCCTCTCAATCTAAACTTTCCCTCTTAAATGGTACCAATCATTAAAACATGTTTTCAACTTTTGCTCTTGATGATGTGGCTGTACTGTGGTACTGTATTAACCATGAGCTTTAAATATTACCTCTCAAAGAGATATTGCAATTGAAAAAGTGATCAATCTTATAGTGAACAGTAACACATCTTATTGATAAGACAATTACCTCTACTCATATGCATGTATAAGGCTCACACAAAACTTAAGTCACACATTGGTACACTTAATAAACCTCACCCCAAAAATTCACAGCTCACCAAAATAATAAAATGATCGCATTATTTAAGTGAGCTGTGCCTTTTAGGGAGGGGGAGGGGGAGGGGGCGGGGGGCGGGGCTTGAATCAAGATAACTTTTTGAAAAATGACTAGACCAGCAAGACAAAGGGTTTCTTGTGACTGTTCCACAGACAAATGCTATTACATGATTTTATTTTGAACAAATAAATTGCAAAAAAAGAAGAAAGAATTACAAGACTTAACACAAAAGGGAACTAGGCAAGCTAAACTTATTCAGGCAAGGTCATTAGTCTTTGTCCAAGGTGACTATAAAAAATAATATTACAAATATTTTCTTTCAATAATTACACACAAAATCCTACAAAACATTAAATTGCATGATACATGGAAGCAACATAGAAAATGGAAGTCCTATCACTAACATACAATAATGTTTAGACATACATGTTTTTGTTTTGTTTGCTAATAAGGAAGAAAATGACGAAGGTTTTGGTGCCTTAATTGTGACAGTATATGTGTTTTACTGAACTCACATTAATCTGTCTGGACTTAAATATACACAAGCACAAGTTATTTACAAATATTAAAATAATACATTTATTTCCTGCTAATGGCTAGTTAAATGTTGACTCGTAACCTTGAAAGCAGAGACAGAGTTGGGCTTTTCTGGCTCTGACGGAGCAGCCAGGAATATCTAGGAGTAGGTATGAGCTTTCACAGTTTTAAACACCAATATTGAATACTATCTGTTATTTTATTATTTCCAAGACATGGCAATTACTTTGTCCAGTAAACATTGCACGTTGGAATGATTATGAAAATTTTGATAGAAAATATTCATTACAATAGCCCCTTTACACCCCCCCCCCCTCCCCTCTTTGTTTTAAAATCACCATAATAAACATTTTTAGGAGTATCTCATTACATATATGGCATCTTGTAAAATACAATTTTTTTAAACACAAAAACTGCATCAAATAAAATCATCTTCTTTTGTTGCAAGAAACTTACCATTGTTGGTAAACTTGCCATTAATGGTAACTTCCATGGAAACCTTGATTTGATTGGCTGTTGAGTGATGTTGCCATGGTAGTTAATATTGATGGTAAGGTTATTTACCATCAATGGTAAGTTTTATGAAACTGGGCCCTGAAAGATAGTTTTGCCTAAAAAAGTGCTGTACAGGTATATTGCTTCATCAAAGTTAATCATTACCGTAAAATAAAATCAGAAACGTTTTTTTTTTAACCAAGAAAATAAAATTCTCCAATGTACTGACACTGTCTCATCTGTTCACAATAAGGAATTACTTTACATATGAAGACTGAGATTAATGTCGTCTGGATTAAATGGAAGGTCAAGTTGTGGTCAATATTTTTAAGAGTATCGCCAAAGCAGAATCACCCCCTCAAAAAAATTACTCTCCAAATGCCCACATATTTGACCTATGGAAAATAGTTATGACCAAACGTGTGTGTATCCCCATATCGTCCCTATTTTCACGAAGTGACGGTAGTGAATGAAAATCGCATACACTTTGCGTTGCAATTTTCCTCACTACCGTCACTTCGTGAAAATAGGGACGATATGTGCCAATATCTGTCTGCAGTGCAGTGGACTTTCAGCAAGCTGGACTAAATTTCTTCTAATTTTGATGATTTAAAAAACCCTCACAATATACATAAATTCCTATGTAAACCAACATCTCTGATTTACTTCCAAATGGTTTCTTTCACAGAGTCATCACTTGCAAAGTACCCAACTTTATGTTTGAAAAACAGTTACCTACTGTTAGACTGAATGAAATAAATTTGGAATTGTGCTTACATCGAGTCTATAAAAATGTAACTTTACATCCTAAAAAACGTAACTTGACATCCTAAGAAACACAATCTCCTCCTTCAAACATTAAACTTTTTAAGACTAGACTGGGAGAGTAAGAAAGCATCTAGGTTTGCATAGAACTATGGGGGAACTGGGGGGTGTTTCACAAAGATTCTAAGTTGAACTTAACTCTAAGTTGAGACTTCAAAAATTATGGAGAGCCATTTGTAGCCTTAAAATAAAATATATTCAAAAGCGAAAAATTAAAGTATTTAAGACTTTTCATAAATTCTTATTCAAGAACATGAAATCTTTCATGATAATAGAACATATGAATGATTTGAATCAATATTTTATGCCTTTTAAAATAACTTTTCAAATATATTTTCAAGGATGCTAACGGCTTTCCATAATTGTTTAGTCCAATTTAGAGAAAAGTTCAACTTAGGATCTTTGTGAAACACCCCCCAGGACACCTCTTCGGGGAACTGGCCTGGTTAAAGTAATGAAAACACTTCCTATATGTACACAATATACAAACAATCAATTAAACATCAAATATACTACACATTATCACAAAATATGCATAAACAGGAACATTGCATTTCACATACGAAACATGAATTGTTTTTCGTGTTTCTAAACATCGCTTTTTTTATCCTACTTATTTCTAGCCTCCTTAACAAATCAATTCTACTTTTCAGCAATATAACGGTCAAAGCCCACCACACACTATACGATTCAACTGCGATCGGGTCTTGGAAACATTTGCAATAGCATTCGATGCGAAATTTCAACAGAAACGATCTTCCTGAATAGTCATCATTATATGAAAAACAAAACAAAAATTCCTGTTGGACCAAATAGACCAACGGTCCGCAAGACCGACAATATCGGTCCCACAAAAATTGTGACAAGGCTCATAAGACCAATTTGTTAGTCTTCATAAGACGGTCTTGTGGACCCAAGCCTTGGAATTTGGGAGATTGCAATCTTCTATGGAGAAAGAAAAGCAAAGTCAACTCTGTATTGATTTGAAGTGTAGGCAGACCAGTCATGTGACCAGTCATGTGACCAGTCATGTGACTTACGACTGTGTATGGAGGAAGTCATGTGACTTACGACTGTGTATGGAGGAAGCCTGGTTGGCCGTATTTCACTAGAAGGCTGCAATTTTTTTTTAGAAATCATATCCACACTCAGAATTTTAGTCAGGAAAATGTCTAATGTTTAAAGATAAAGTTGAGTTCTGGTCATGTGATTGCATTGTGGAAGAAACGTTATGGAATCGATCAGAAAGGTTTATCATCTAGCATATAAGTATTGGTGTATACTGCAAGGTTCTGGAATCATCAAAATGATAAGAAATTTGGCCGACTTTTGGTAAAGTTACAAGCACTGTACACAGAAAGATGTATATGGGACTACACAGACATACAAATCTGTCCCGATTTTTATGATGTTACATGCCATATTTAGATTATTAAGGCATTTGAAGAGCCATGCTTTTCAGAGAACATTTTTTATCTGATGTTCTTCCACCCTTGCATAATAACAATGACAATGCTCACAAATTATTTTTCACCTCTTCCCAGAACTCAACTTTCTCTTTAATACTGCCCTATCTATGAAGGACGGATCGGAATCGGATCGCAGTCAGATCGCATACAGTGCTGTGGGCTTGTAAACAGGAGAATGCATGAATGGTACACAAGCGGCACTAGGTATATCACTCACTATCTTTGGTTAATGCTATCAACAGGACAAGAATACTATATCCAGAGATATATTTCATAAAAACATGTTACAAAGTAAATATCTACCTTAACAAACAATCTGTAGACAATGGGCTAAATGGAATGGGAATGCTTGTACATTGTAAATTTCAATTTTATCAAACCTGTATAAGTCACACAGTCCCTCTTCAGGGATGGCTGAAAGGTTGATAAAGTCAAACCTGTCTACAGCGACTGCCCAAGGGAAACACAAAAAGTGGTCTTTGTAGACAGGTGGTAACTAAAGCAGGTTTGACTGTATAAAATTATGTTGTATCACAATCAAATGATTCCATCAACAAAACACATCATGGTATTAGAACTAGATGGGCAAAAAATATGTCCAAGCTTCTTATGATTGAGTTGTACAAGTAATTGGAAGGAATACAAAATTATTAAAAAAAACATTGTCTTACATAAGTGACAGATGCAAAAAATGTGTCTTTATAACATTCACTGGTTCTCTTAGGTTTCTATACTGTTTGGTTGGCATGCAGATGAGAGATTCAAACAAATCAACTCATCCTGAAATATAGTTCCAAACAAAAAGAAAAATGGCAGGCATACATTTGTTACTTCCTTTAAGAAAAATCTAACAAAACTTTGTTTTGAAATCTAATTCTTTGGGCAGTGAATAAATAAAACCACTTATTCAGTATAATTTAAACATCTTAATAAACAAAACTCTACAACATATTCTTAATTACGGAAACCAACCCTTTGGTTTCTTTTAAATTTGGCATATCAAATACATACACAATAGGAGTTGGCACATGTATACCAAAGCAAATAATATGGCAACATATCCTCACACCTTCTGCTAAATTTGCAAAACATTAGAATAATTCTACAACTTTACTAGATTTACATCATGAAACATGTTGTGTCAATGACAACTACGGTAGGCGTTGTGGCGTGCGCCTGTAATCCAGCTAACAATGGATGTTACAAACTGATTCAGCCGAGGACGCAGGTTCGAAACTGAGTCACGCCTTTCGGATGGTGACGTTAAAAGTCCGTCCCTAGACGTTAATAGTCATATCTGATTGATACACGTCTGTAAAAACCCAATTACACACACACACACAGAGGTTACAATAGCTGGTATACAGGGTAGCCCAAATAAAACGAACTAGCAGACTTTCAATAATATGAGTTGAATTTCCAAAGTACCAGAAGATGGGGAGTCTTTTTACAAGGATAACAATACCAAATTTGTAGAGTATTTTTTTATTCTGTACGCATTCTTGCAAGACAATGTTTTAGACATTCACTAGCTATCAGTGCTCCTATCCAAAAACTGTATCTTGCGTAGTTTCAAAAATGGTATTTAGCCCGAGCTTTGTGGAAGCTGCAAAAAAATGTAATGTATTAATTGACGTCAGATTGAACTCCTTGCATCACAAAATGCTCCCTAAAAATTAAAAAAACCCTCTGCCAAATTTGTCAATCTTGGTAACATTTTTAATGTGAAAACATTAACCCCACATTATTGGAAGTATGCTAGTCTGTTTATGTTGGGCCACCCTGTATAAGCTCCCGTAATTACTGCATTTGAATGCTGTGAGCCAAATCGTTAAAGAACTTGTGACAGGTTTCATGAAACAGGGCCTAGGTCTTTAATAATAGTCACATTTGTAAAGCATTTAATAAAATATTTTTAAGCGCTTTGAATTGTAATTACTATTACCTCATTAATTGGATTCAATTGCTCATCAGCGCATGATAGCGCACATGCTCCGCTCCCTGGGGAGTATGAATACATGATAGTAAAAAATAACACGATATATGTTTGTACCAAAATACAAAACATTAAAGAGATTATTGGTACTACAACATTTTTGTTGCTATTTTTCGAATAAACATTACAAACAAGATTAGCTAACTGTTTCTGTATGAATACACAAGATTTTTTTTTTTAAGAGAGTAGGCTAGGGTTTAGGGTCAAATTGACAAGCTCAAAATTCAATCAAATAAAACTGGTCAAGTTTGTTTACTACTCACTCCAAAAATATCTTATTGTTTTGATCTTCAATAATATTAACACTTTTGCAATATAAATATTTTATAAACGTACTAAATGTATAAAAACTGAAAAATTCAAAAGATATTGAATAATTAAGACAGATTTTTAAAATATACTTAAAATGTGAATAAAAATGGATACCATATAAAATGTGAATAAAACTGTTATTACTTGATGAGCGGCATAACGCGAAAATAAAACAAAATAAAAGAATTTACCGGTACCTGATTCTGTGAATTGTAAATAATAACAGATGCTGAGATGTTTTGTGACGTGTCATTTCAGTAAAGATAGATCTGAAGAGAGAGAGAAACAAATTTACACCCCCCCCCCCCCCCCCCCCCACTTTCTCCTCCCCTGACATTAACTCTTGGTGAAAGTATCAACAATAAATATATAAATAAATAAAATTTGGCTTTTAGAGTAAATTGCAAAAGATCCTACTGCAGCAAAGTTAAGTTAGTGTACATGCATTTGCATAATCATTAGGTTTCTAATACCCTCTAATCCCCTTAACAAAATATGACACAAGTTCCTAATTTCAGCTTTAATTTTTGATGGAAAATACAGTTACTAAGCATAAAGGCTTTCTAGACGTTGGAGCATTGACGCTAGTCCCATACATAACAAGACATGTTTATAACCATGAGAGACTTAATGGCCCAAGGTGTAACTATCACAGTCATATACAAAATAAAAAATGTTTTTAGTCTCGAAGGGCTTTGCAGGCCAAGGATTAAGGAGCCAAGTTATAAATGTACATAATAAAAAGGTTTAAAATGATTAAGGACCTTTGGGACTAGAAGTTTAGACCCATAGTCCTGATAAAAAACAGAAATATTGCAATTGATAAAGGGCAGTGGTGACTATGCAGAGTAGACCCTCATCCCATACATTAAAAAGAATGTTAAAATTATCAAAGGGCCTTCTAAAACATGGACTCTAGTCCCATACACAGCAAAAAATGTTTGCTTCTAGACTTTAAACCCAGCCCCATATGCAACAAAACATGTTTGTAATTTAGACAGGGCATCACCTTTTTCAAGGGCCTTCTAGAACATGGACTCAGGTCCCATACACAGCAAAAAATGTTTGCTTCTAGACTCTGGACCCAGTCCCATAGGTAACAAAACATGTTTGTAATTTAGACAGGGCATCACCTTTTTCAAGGGCCTTCTAGAACATGGACTCAGGTCCCATACACAGTAAAATATGTTTCCTTCTAGACTCAGAAACCCAGTCCCATAGGATACAAAATATGTTTGTAATTTAGACAGGGCATCACCTTATTCAAGGGCCTTCTAAAACATGGAGTCTGGTCCCATACACAGCAAAAAATGTTTGCTTCTAGATTCTGGACCCAGTCCCATACGTAACAAAACATGTTTGTAATTTAGACAGGGCATCACCTTATTCAAGGGCCTTCTAAAACATGGAGTCTGGTCCCATACACAGTAAAAAATGTTTCCTTCTAGACTCTGGACCCAGTCCCATACGTAACAGAAAATGTTTCCTTTAAGACTCTGGACCCAGTCCCATACCTAGCAAAAAATGTTTGCTTCTAAGCTCTGGACCCAGTCCCATATGTAACAAAACATGTTTGTGATTTAGACAGGGCTTCACCTCTTTCTCTCTCTCGGGGCAGGGCAGGGGGGATTGTCCTCATGTGGGGCCTCCTGGGGTGGTGCTGGATGGGTAATGTATTGATCTGATAGAAAGCCAACAAATAAATACAAAATAAAAACAAATGTGCATGAAACAAAAGCAGGTCTTTCATAAATAAACAAATTAAATAATAACAAATGTTTTTTGTTTGTTTTAAAGGTTAGTAATTTAAAATGAAAAGCTATTGTGATTTTCTTTTTTTCTCTCCAAGCAACTTAAAAACTATGAGAGAAATGAAATGTCTTATTGCCTGTGGAGACAAGGTTCAGTTTCCCTTATGTAGCCCCCCCCCCCCCCACCCCCAAAGTAGACACAGATACTAGAACTTTACCCCAGCCTCCCCCCCCCCCCCCCCCCCCCCCCCCGCCTATTATTGTCTAGTATGGTGTAAAAACGGATCCATGTCCAATGTCACGTTTGCAAAATGGTGCAAAAAGGATGCACCCTTTAAATCAAGAATCCTTATAAAAAATAAACATGTATCAAAGCATTATATTACGGTACCATATACATAACATGACGTATACGTTTATAAATTTATAACCGACTCTAAAGCGTGGGTAAGCTTTGTTACCATGGGTTATTTGGTACGTTTTGTTAATAGCCAAACATCAAACAGTTGACAAAAAAAACTCACATTATGACACATCTATACACAAGTTTGTCCACATTCTAAATACACACACTACGTTTTTCATCATACTCCCGGCAAGACATTTATGCATTTTAAAAATTTACAAAAATAAGGTGAGGATTTTCATGACGTAGGAAAGTGCTTATTTCCATGATATTTGAATCCCTTACAAAAAGAATACTGTTAGCAGAATCTACATATACACAGGTGATGATTTAATGGTAATCATCATTTCAAAACGAATATCTACATTTCTTTAAAGGAAAAGCTATTTCACAGAGATGGTCTATCATCAGTGAATCGATGATGTATGTACATGAATTGTATAAACTACTTTTAATTGTTTCAATGTATCTCTACATTATATCTATATACATTACTCTTAATTCCCATACGCAATCAAGAAATTAGAGGCAATTATAGGCAGCCCTGTTTCATAAAACTTTTGATCAATAACAAGTGCCACAGATTTATGACAAATCTGTTCATAGCCAATCAACTGCAAGGATTTCAGAAGCTTATATCATTATCGCATCTTGTTCCTGATAACAAGTTTCATGAAACAGAGTCCAGGATATAAAATATGTTGACTTCCCGGAGAACATAGAGGACTCCCAATATGAATTCCATTCACTTCATATACAATACATAATGCCTAGGTTTAATATACCAATTGACTGTATGTTTTAAACTCATGATTTGCTACGGATCAGAACACTATACTACCATGCGGTTTGGAGTATACTGAACATGTACACTGCATGTGTGACGATAGTCCACTGTGGCAATCCACTACTTGTTCTATTGGTTACCCAAAGTGGACAAAGAGTTAAGCCAGGGCTCTGCATGGACTCTTTTGGAAGGGAGTCCGGACTGAACGTTTTAGAGTCTGTATGCACAAGCTCTACCTAAGATTTTCGAATTTGGAGGGTCCAGACTTGGATTTTGGGCGGCCATGTCTCGCGGGCACCTGATGGCGTTGAGCCCCGGTCACCCATGAACCTCGAAAATGTTGAAGACATTACTTTCTACCTTTTGAATATGAGTTGTCTGTGCATTCTCTTAGCTTCATTGTTGAGTTTTGTCCTTATGGCATCTTTGACCGCTCTGGCCGGAACACCGGTAACTCGCTGGACGTAATCTGTGATAGAAATGGAATTGCATTTATTCACCACTTTTGAAAAAATCAAAACATGTTGAGTCAAAGAATACAATGAAAGATTTCTTAAAAATATGGATTAGATAATTAAATGGAAACACACTAAAGGAAATTAGGAAGTGAATGAGTCACCAAAAGTTACAGAAACTTAAAAGTTAATGATCCTACACTACATACAAAAAGTAACACAAAAAAGAGACAAAAAAATAATACAATGGTAATTACAAACATAAAAAGGGTAGTTGTCAGCTTCAAAGCTTCTGCATCAGCTGCAGTTTTAGATTATGCTTAAAACTGCTTTGATGATGAAAATCAAAGAGATAAATGTAAATAAAACAATCAAAATTTTGGAGGTGTTGTGGTGAAGAGATTCATTTAGTGGACCTTTTATCACAAGGTTTCAATCTTAGCCTGGCATTAAAAGGCAATCCAACCTTTCTACCTAAACAGAAATTAGAGACACAGGTCACTGAATGTTGAAACAAAACAAAAGAGGCAAATCCTAACAAGGTTATGATGTTTGAAGTCAGGATCACTATATAAACAGGGTCTCTAGCATTTCAGGATTTTTCCCTAAAGAAGATTCAAATTTCCAGGATCATTACTCTAACCTATTTCCAGTTTGAAATATCTTCAAAGGGTCTTTGAAACGTCTTCAAAATGTTTTCTTGTCACAGCTTAGAGACAAAATGAATATCGTACACTATTTTTTTTAGCAGATGCAATACCAAGAGGGTGAATAGTGATAACACCAGCAGTAATTTCTGGTATGTCTTTGGTTGTAGTTTGTATCATTATGTTTCTATACAAAAACCTCTACCATTTTGTACTCATGTTCAATTGTGTGTAGTATTTATTCCTGATTTTGTATATATTGATAGTACATGTATGTTAATTGATGTTATATAAATTGAAGAAACAGTGGGGAAACGATTTGTATGCCATGTTCTTTTGTGCACGATCAATAAATAAAAACTTGAACTTGAACTTGAACTTGAATTATGTTTTTATGAAACGCACCTGAAACCTGTCAAGGACTTACCAAGTATTGCTTCAACTTTTTCTGGGTCTAATCTGGTCTTGTTGGTTGGTAGCCCTGTGGTCCTGGAGATAGTGTTACTGGTCCCACCCAGAGTGGATCTACTCAGGATCTTCCGCGGGAAGAGACACATCAAGAGGTCAGAGGTCAGCTTGCGGAAGTTTGTATGGTTGCACCGGTCTAGGAGTCTCTTGTCAACCTTCACGTTGTTACTTAGGCTGATCTCAACCTGAGAGTCAAAGAAAAAAGACAGTCAGTCAGTGGGGTCTAGGAACCAATGATTCTACATTAGGTTGGAGGTGAGTTGGCTCAGTCGGTATTAAAAGCGTCCGCCTGTCGAACCAAAGATCCCGGGTTCGAGTCCCACCCGGGCGGATGACTGAAGCCTGCATTGTGTGTTAACGTGCCCTTCCCTTGTTCATAGATGCAGGTTAATGGTTATGTCAAGTGGAAAACATTCCGTCCCTCGGATAGGACGTTAAATGGAGGCCCCGTGTAGAAAAGAGTCACTATCTTTGCACGTTAAGAACCCACTGCACTATTCGTATAAGAGTAGAGGGAAACCCCGGTGTAGTGGTCCACCTGCACACCCCAGTGTAGTACGATAATACTCTGTAAAGAGGTCTGTACTCAAAAAGGAAGAAGAAGAAGAAGAAGAAGAAGAAGGAGTCTCTTGTCAACCTTTACCTTGTTACTTAGGCTGATCTCAACCTGAGAGTGTCAAAGAAACACAACAAGCCTATTAAAGATGCATAGTAGTGGGTTCATAGGCAGGGAATTTGACACTATTTGGGTGTTTACCCATAACAGGTGTTGTCAATCACCAGGATTGAGGTTTATGACAAACCAGCTTAATGTAATGCTCTTTTAATCTATCCCCCCATATCATACACCCTAAGAATCTCCAAGACACTAGGGGTATTTCTTGACTGGACTACGGTTTGCAGACTTGTACACATACATTCATGATATTTCCACAAAGTCTGGTGTCAGCGGATTATAACCTTCAGCACATGGAAACTGACGACCCGCTTCCTATAAATAAATACATCCCTGTATTTACAAGTTTGCCAGAAGCTTGTCCGACATTTACAGCTGATGCATGCAAGCTGAATTTTAATGCACATAAATGTGATCCCATATAGTAGGTTAAACTGATAGCTTGTCGTATATGTTTCTTGAAAACAACATACCTAAATGTTTAACATTTCCATCATTATGTTTATTGGCCTTTTCATTGAATACAGTCTCTGATTTCACAGGCAGGGATGCCAGTTAGAATTGATCAGAGGGCCTGAAAAGCACCTACAATGAGCTATTTTGTGCACAAAAAGCCTAAACTAAAGCCTTACCGAATCTTCTGTCTGCTTGCCCCCCGGTCGTACGATGAGCTTGCCCCTATCCCGTATCCTGACCGGTGCCACGCTACCACCCGTCATGTGGGAGACGTGCTGGAGCACCGTCTGAGCAGCGGACTGGGGCACCGGATTGGACAGACTCTGCTGCATCATGGCGAGCTGAGAGGGTGCACCGGGCGGTACCATCGGTGGGACCATCGGCGGCTGACCCATTAAACCCATTTGAATACCGGATGCCAGGACGGGAAGGACAGGTGCTCGTGGAATATGCACCTGTAAGGAGAATGACAACTTCCATTGAGAGGTGACCGACAAAGATTTCTAGGTTTAATGGCTGTCTGTATTAGTTTGGCCAGGAGGGATTAGACCACCCAGGGTGATCACTGACAGTGGGCTATCTCATCAACTAAGCTCTCAAATAACAAGTAAAAGAGGATCATGAGGGACCAATGGTCACCGATTAGGCATTGTTTTCTATATACCGTAGAGGGAGCAAGTAGCTACAAGTAGTACAGTGGGGCTTTAACTTTGAATCACAAATACCAGTATATTTCCTCAACTACAAGTAAAACTGTTTTTAAATCCATTTGCACAGTAGGGTATATTGTACAGTCAAACCTGTCTACAGTGACCGCCCAAGGGAACACAAAAAGTGGTCTTTGTAGACAGTTGGTCTTTGTAGACAGGTTCCTTGAGTACATGTTTCAATGAGAAACCATTTTCAAGGGAAACAAAAATTGTGCTTGTTGTAGACAGGTGGTCACTAAAGCAGGTTTGACTGTACTTATAATAATGGAGTTGGTGACCAACACATTTGCTTTGGCCACCATCACTCCAGGCTTTACATTCTTAAAGATATACACCAAGGGTTAGGGTTGCTATTCAGCTGAAATCTGAGTCGACGGTGTTAGTTAGCCCTAAGTATAGGGTTAGGGTTAGAAACAGTCAATCCTGCTTTAGTGACTACCTGTTTACAAAGAACACATTTTTCGTTTCCCTTGAAAATGGTTTCTCATTGAAACATGTACTAAAGGAACCTGTCTGCAAAGACCAGTTTTTATGTTTCCCTTGGGCGGTCGCTATAGACAGGTTTGACTGTATATTGTTTGGTCCAGGATTGAAGAAGGAAATTCTGTTAACTAAAGGAATTGCCTACAGACCACTTGTTGCTGCATCAAGCGTTGTAGAACCTGAGAGTTACCTGTTGTTGTAAGTGATGTGGCAGCATATCATGATCCATTGCTGCAGCAAGTTGTGGCAAGGAAACCTGCGAGAGTGGTATATGTGGTAGCGATACCGATTGAGATGACACGGTAGTCACCACCTGTCCTCCGACCACACCCATGCCCGATACCGGTATTACGGCATCATGAGTGGAAGTGGGTGGGCCGGATGAAAGGTCGTCGTTGGCAAGGCTTTGGCAGCGTGAGATGGTGATGGCCTGCGGGGAAGCGGAGGTGGACGGTACTGCATCCTCTTCTGGTGGGGTGTGGTCAGGGGAGGGGCTGAGATGTTGGGAGGCATCACTGCTGGCGGGTGCACCTCGTAGAGTTGCGAGTAAATTAGGAAGAGCTGCAGATAAGAATGTTTTAACACACCATTCAATAATGCTTAACCTTCTCTTAATATCCAATCAACAGCAGAAGAGTTCAAATGCAAGAACCGATATATGCCATTTTCAGGAAAATGAAACTAAACATAGTGTGATTATGCTTGCAGTTAGAGATATTTGATGCCAAAAACTTGCATGATTCAACACACTACCTCACTAGAGTAATTTAACACAAACAAAACGCCACTCAGGAGTTTCAGCATATACCAAAATATGGAAATGAACTAAGCAGCACATGAATTTGATATCAAATGATGTAACGGGGCGACACCTAAATTAATGACCGTCGCTTTACATTGCCCCATGCTTATGTTTTTGTGTAGTATACATGAAAATAGTTTGCCTCAGTTTATGAAATTATCTTTACTTTTTACTCACCGTCATTGAGTGCGATGGTTTCCACTAGTCTATCAACCTTCTTACGTAATTCACTGTTTTCTTTTCTAAGAGCGTCGTTCTCTTCTCTTAGCACTGTCAGCTCATCATCAGGAAACTACAATATCAAAGATACATAACACAGGAGAGTATTACTGTAGGTACAGTAGTAGGACACTTTCTCTGCTGGCCAACTCATCATCAAGAAAATACACTATCAAAGAGACGTTACAAGGAAGAGTACCAGTATTACTGTAGGTTCAGTAGTAAGACACTTTCTCTGGCCAACTCATCATCAGGAAAATACAATATCAAAGAAGCAATGTACAGGTGTCGTGGTCGAGTGGTTACGTCGCCGGACTGTCGATCACAAGGTCTGCGGTTCGAGTCCCGCAGTGGCAAGACATTGATCTACATTTGCCACACTCAACCCAGGTCCAGGGGATGTAAATAGGTACCTGGCAGGAATTAATTCCGCTAAATGCTAGAGCGCCGTAATGGCAGCACAGCTAAAGTCGGGGTAATAATCTCCAAGTTTGGAAGTGCTTAGAGACTTAATCGTAATTTGCGCTATATAAAAGCTGAGTATTATCATTATTAATGTAGATAAAAATGCTTTGCTCAAGGACATAAAAACCGAGGTAAAACCTTTACATTCCCAGTCATGTGATAAAACCACTCGACTTGTATCCGGACACCTACCCCCCGGACAAATACCCCCTAGGATAGTTGTCCCAGAGGATAGTTGTCGTAGAGGGTAGTTGTCCGGGGGGTAGTTGTCCTAGGGGGTAGTTGTCCTAGAGGGTAGTTGTCCGGGGGTAGTTGTCAGGTGGGGGTAGTTGTCCCAGGGGTAGTCGTCCTAGAGAGTGGTTGCCCTAGGGGGTAGTTGTCCTAGGGGTAGTTGACTTAGGGATGGCTATACGGGAGGTGGATGTCCAGGGGGTAGGTGTCCTAGAACCCCACTTGACTATGACACCTCTACACTCTACCCCTCACTCTAACGCTCTTGAAAGCAAGCTTACCTGCATGCTAGCATCTTTCTTGCCTGAACTGGAAGTCGTCCTACAAACAAAAGGTTCCACAGCTCTCTGCGTCTCCTCACCTACAAAAAGCACAGACAAAGAACACCATGGGCATGTTAATCACAAAGCATGCAGGCATAAACATGGGTAACTTTTACAGATTACACACTGCAAATTAGATATGATCACAAGGAGGGGGGGGGGGGGGGGGGGGGGGGGGGGGGGGGGGGGGGGGGGGGGGGGGGGGGGGGGGGGGGGGGGGGGGGGGGAGGGAGGTTACGACCACCATCTAACTCTTTGATTGCGTAATAACTCATTCTCTCATCGTCATTATTGGACGCACTGGTCATACATACTTGGTAGATGAAATTAATTCACAAGGCCATCTATACCAGTGAGGGTGTTGTATACATTTTCGTTTCATTCTTTTCTCCAGTACTAGTTTGGTAGGACGGATTAGACTACCCAGGGTGGTCACTAACAGGTGGCTATCTCATCAACTCAGCTCTCAATTAAAGGTACTATGTCCCTTTTGCAACCACCTCAAATTCTGTAGAACTTTGCAGGAATTATGAATATGTCATGTATGTCCTATCTGTGAAATTTAAACGTTAGCAGTGTCCTCATATTCAAATTATGCAAGGAAACCCGTTTACTTGCTAGACTTTACTGTCAGACACTATTGAGTGACTGACTGTTTTTTTTTCTTCTTTGGTTAACATACATGAAAGAGTTGTAAAGGGTACATGAGCATTTGTCTACATCAATAACCCACTTCTTGTGATGGCCAAGATTAAACTGATTGAATCTTTGCGCAGCATAAAACGTATTACCATTCAGTACAATTGTCTGAAAATCAAGACTATTACTTTTGGGCTCTATAGCCCTAAAGTCGATTTGACAACCAATAGTCGTTATTTTCCAACTTGAAGACATTTTCAAGCCCCAACTTTTTAGGAAAGTTCTAAATTAGTATTATCTTTCAAATGCAGTTGGAATTTAACTTTTTCATTTTTTTGGCCTGCAAATGGGACATAGTACCTTTAACATAAGAAAAAGACGATCATGGGGGACCAAAGGTCACTGATTAGGCATTGTTTCTATATAGAGGGAGCAAGAAGCTACAAGTAGTACAGTGGGGCTTTAAACCTTTCCTTTTCCCCTCCCCCCCCCCCCCCCCCCCCCCCCCCCACCGTCCTTTTGGTTCCTTGTCACAGATTCTTTCTACTTGAGCTCTCTCTGCCCCATCCACAGGTCGGGTATCTGCCCTGCATGGGCACTATCACTTCAGCACTTCTTTTCTTTTTTAATACCATTTAACCCCTCCCCCCCCCCCCCCCCCCCCCCCCCCCCCCCCCCCCGCGTTCTTGTAGCTACGCCACTACTACTTACCTGGCTATTATCAGTATCTGCATTGTAGGCCTGATCACCGTCATAACTTACACCCATGAACTGACGAGGTCTGTTGAAGCTACCCCCGATCTGCTTCCTTCGCTTGAGAGATCGGCTGCCGTGAAGGATGGAATGAGCTGCAATAGACAAAAAAGCATACAGTAAACATCTTTCATATCAGAGGGTACATGTATTCATGCAAATCATTGGCTACACTTGACTAAACATTATGGGTTGTATTCTCGAAAGCGGACTAACTTTAGTCCATGGTTTAATCCACCGAGTAAGTATGGAATGCCAGGTGTCCATATGATTATACTTTTGAATAATTTGATATGTCCCAAAATAACCATGATAACATAATTATATCATAGTTTTATTGTTGTGTATTAATTATGTTATTACATTTTATTTTAATTTAGTGACAGGTTAAATTATTCAAAAACAATCATATGGACACTTTCGAGAATACCACCCCATAAGTACAAGTTCACTGACATCCCATCGAAACACCTGTTAATGATATGTTGGTGAACTTATACTCATGACAGTTTTGTAGACATTATGAATAACATGCTTCTGTGCATTGAGATAAGCTGCCATGAAGGATGGAATGGGTTTAGGCATAAAAACCGAAAAACAGAACATCTACATGTACATGCCTGGAAGTAAAAAAAACTTGGTCACTGTCACGATTGACTCCTGTATGAATTGTATTGAATCAATTGGAATTAGGTTGAATTGCGTTGGATTGACTGTGGATGAGCTGAATTGAACTGAACTGAATTAAACTGAACTGAACTGAATTGAAATGAACTGAACTGAATTTAATTGAATGGAGTTGACTTGAATTTAACTGAACTAAAAACTGATAAGTGAATTGAACCGATCCAAACTGAAGTGAGCTGACCTAAACTGAGCTGAACTAAATTCAACTGAAGTGAAAAGAACTAAACTGAACTGAATTCAACTGAAGTGAAAAGAATCAAATTGAAGTGAATTAGAGAATTATAGAGGTGTTGTGGTCGAGTGGATACGTCGCCGGACTGTCGATCACAAGGTCCGCGGTTCGAGTCCCGCCGCCGCACTAATGTCCTTTGGCAAGACATTGATCTACATTTGCCACACTCCACCCAGGTGAAGTAAATGGGTACCTGGTAGGAATGTATTCCTTGAAATGCTAGAGCGCCGTATGGCAACCGTGCTAAAGCCAGGGTAATAATCGGGAGCGCCAGGAGGGTCAATTCTGACTGACATGAGCGCTATACAAGAACCCACTATTATTATTATTATTAATTAACTGAATTCAACTGAACTGAACTGGACTGAACTAAACTGAACTGAATTGAACTGAACTGAACTGGATTGGACTGGACTGAACTTAACTGGACTGAACTGGACTGAATTGATATTTCTTTACCTGCCCTTCTGCCTTGAATCTCATTCTCTAAGCTCTCCTCCATCGTCGTCCCTTGTAGCTCCATATCACTCGTCAAGACAACCACGTTGTCGTTCACTTCACCGGTACTGAACACAAAGCCCCTCCCACCATCCTCCGTCTCCTCCTCCCCCTCATCCCTGGCTCCGCCCCCTGGTTGCTCAGTCTGATACCATTCCTTTGAGTCTAAGACACCATCACCACCGTCATCGTCCGGGATGTCGATGATGTCGCTTTCTGCTCCGAAGAAAAAAGTGCACAAATGTAAACAATTATTGGGTATACTTTGTTGTAAAGACTGGAAGCTTAGCTTATCTGTCCCTCTTTACATCTTGTCTCAAGTATGGTTCAAACTTAATTGGATTGTTTCTCCAATACCTTTCTAGGGATGACTTGATTGAATTGGTTAATGGTGGCAGCCTTGACTACTTCCTTACAATGATTTAATTGATTTGACTCTCGGTTGATAATAGGAGAGTACATGAAGCCTAATATGATCCCTAATGTTCTAAAGTCCACCACTTAGTCATTGTACATGTTTCCATATGAATTTGTAATTTGTCATTGTACACTTGCTACTGTATATTACCTAATTGTGTATATTATTTTCTATTGTATATTGTTCATGTGCCTATGTAATGCCAACAAATGAATTTCCAAATGGACCAATAAAATTAATCTGAATCTGAATGAATCTGAATCTGAATCTCAAGATAATTTTACTCTGGGTCCATACAAGATAAAAACATGTTTTTACATAGTTCTTCAATAAACAAGTAATATGACGATAATAAAGACTTTAGAAAAATCAACTGCCTTGTCCATTACCTTTTGAAAGTGCAAAATTTACAAAATATATTACAAAGTCTGCACAATGTTTCTATATACTGAGGGTACTGAAATTGTCAATGAATTTTGTTTTTTTCTCAAATTTGTTGAATACCGTATTTAATGTTTTCCTTACAATCTCTTGTTGCTTCTGAAGAGGCTAGGAACCGATCTTCAGAATCTACAGCACGCTCACCACTATCATCACCTTTTCTGTATGTACCCTCCCTCCCTCCGAAAAAAAGAAAAAAGAAAGAGATCCTGATCCATTGGTTTATCATTTTAGTTGCTTTTTTTTGCCTCTTTGCTCGGTCGCTCATTTGCCACACATGAATTTTTGCCAAAAAACAATATTCACCAAATGAGGGAAGGAATGCTTTGTGCAACACAATGGCTTTGCAAAATTAACAATTTCAGGGACCCGTTTCACAAAGACTAGTTTTCAATGACAAATGACAAAAATCAGTGACATATCTGCTGATAACCAATCAGAAGCAAGGATTTCACTAGCTTATAACTAAAACTGTACTTTGTCACTGATGACAAGTTTTGTGAAATGGGGCCTTGATCTTCATTACATGAAGCTCCATACATTGTGTGCGGGCAAGCCAGAATCCGATGACCGGGGTAATAATGTAAAGCGCTTAGAAACTCGTACATTCCCGACGTATTAAGCGCTATATAAGCAATAGTATTATATTATTATCCCTCCATAATGGTATCGGAATAAATTAATATTTTACTTGAAATTATTAAATAATCTTGAAGCCTCTGTATATCCATCTCATAGCGTAAAAAGAGATAGGTGTGACAAGGGCATGTACAGGGGTATGCAAGCTCATTCATAGGTTACAACATTGAGCTCTAAATATTTCTCTCCCACATGCAATCTCTATGGGAGGGAACTATTCAAAGTTCCATAAAGCAACTGACCAATCAGAAGCGACCTCCATTGTCACCACTCTTTGCAAATAAGCTCTGATCTACCCAATTAGACACACAGTGTGTCACAGGGTATTTAGTATTTACCATTGAATTCTTGGTTGTGTTGGTCTTCCTCTCCTGTCTCTGTCGTCTGTAAGACACGGCTTGGGTTGTTACTCTTCCTTCTTGAAGAATCCTCCGCCATCATTCAACTGAAAAAGAGGAGAGAAGTAAAATTCAAAAATAATAAGTGTGCAGCCATCAAGGTCTAGACTAGTAAATCATGATTGATATTTCAGTCAAACCCTCTAGACCTATTTGTTATGATTTCACTTAAGTTTAAGTCTTACTCTTAGACAAGATCTAGGGTGTCTGGACGATTTTTCAATCTTCAATTTGGGATCATTTTTCACCATTTTTTATAATTATGTGAATAAAAAATGTATAATAATAATAATATATTTCAAATTTCAAGACTAAGCGATGTTTCTATCAAAACATACAGCCCCTCCAAAACTCTGCAATATTCATATCATTTTGGTCGGACTCGACGAAAAAGACGTAAACGCAGAGTTAATGTTGTTCATATGCTAAATTTAGCCAAACAGCTAGCAGATGCTCAATCGCGCAATGTGCATTCGTATGCATGGCGTACGATGTTGCTAAGCTAAATGCGCTAAACCCGATCACGTTGTCTCCGCGATATCGCCATTGACTTATAACGTGTACTCACTTCCGGGTTGGAAACGTACGCAGTCCGAATGCATATTTAAGTGCGCGATGTAACCATGGTTTGGACTGAGCGGAGCTTACGTCTCCCTAATTAGCCGATTCAAAAAATGTGGGAAGGGTATTTTCAAACTGTTGCGGCGAATGATCCCTTGGGGCTAGCGGGAAAAAAAGCACCTGGGTATTATCCTTACGTCTAGCCCTACTTAAGCCGCAGGGGCGCGGCTTAGGAAAATGAGTCGTCTCGGAGCTAGGATGCAAACAACATATCAATTGCTGATTTGACCAAGATATTTTTAGAATTCTGGGGGTGGCTTCCTATGGGGAATATGGAGAAAAACCTGCTCTTTCATATGACACCACATTTATTGAGTTTCACCTTCAGGATCACGAGTAATAAGCAAGAAAATTGACATGAAACAGGTAATAAACATAACAAATTTTAACTCATGATCTTTATTTGGACATTTAATGAAAATTTACTTCATTATGGGTATGTTATGTGTAGGGTGTGTCCACGCCGGAGTTACGGGTCAAATTTTGGATACGTTTCTGAACAAGCGCCCAGAGTTCTTTGTGCCTGGCTTGAGAGGCTTGACCATGTTGACTTGAGGTTGAGCCTGAGGCTTTGTTTACATGGGTGCCACTTAAGGCTAGGTGATATCTATATCAGGCCTATTACCTAGCCGTTCACTTGAGGCTAACCCCACAATCACTGACAATGACAATCATACCCTCGCTTGCCTTTTCCCCATTCCCCTAGCCTGTTCTCCTAGCCGAGCCGCTCCGCCATCTCCCGGCTCCCCTTCCCTGCCTGCTAGCTGCTTGACCTCGGCTCGCGCTCGGCGAGCCTCAAATGGATCAAAAATGCTGTAAATTTGACAAGATTTTCAGGCATAACTTTACAGAATCATGACATATTAAGTCTTTAAATTCATAAAAACAAATACATGCTCATGCAAAGTACTGGAATCGCAAAACCAAGGAAATAATTACCCGAGTTCTCAGCTGTGTAGTTAACGAATCATAATTTCCGAATTAGAGTCTACGGCCATTTCAGATTCAGTTTTCAACAATGATTGGAGAAGAGTCGAGAGGGCG